CGGCAACCCATGGGCGATCTCGCAGAGGATCCCCTCTTGTCAATTTCCCCCCTGGGAATGTTGTTCTGAGTTCTTTGCAATGCCATTTAAATGAACCCCCTGCCTTTTGTATATCAACTAAATGCAATTGGACTCCACAAAAATACATGAATCAATATGAAAAATGACGTTATTGTGTTTCTGCTTCAAAATCCATTAAAGAATAACTTTTGGGGCAAAATATGAAAGATGGCATGTAAGCCTAAAGATTTTATTCTTTCACAGTCATTACCTTCTCATGACATGTAGTTCAATCTAAGCATTTTAAACACATGCATACTCACCTGCGTGGCACAAAGAAGTAAGTGTTGCATGAGTTTCTGAGCATGTATTTAAGAAATAAAGTTGACTTGCATTGGATTTGTATGCATGCAACAAATGGCTGCACGTTATTTTGAGATCACAACACAATACTTTGTGTCTTTTTGGTGAGTTTCATACCATAAGTGATGATTGAGATACACCAGTCACTCAGCACATGGGTGAAGGGGTCATGGAATTGTTTGATAACGATTGCGATTTGTGATTGATGGGTTATGCTCGATGTGCAAGATCTTTAGTGACAATTGTAATGCAATGAGGTGCATGCAACGTGTTTTATTGTTGGCAAGATCGGACTTGGTAGGGCCTGTGAAGTCCAAAATGGCAGCTTGGCCATTGTTTGGATTGTGGATTTTCACAACTCAGTTGTGAAAATCGTCAGTATGACATGGTTTCTATGCTCAACGCCTATTTTTCTAATTAGATTTTACTAATGGCTTCACTTTACAAAAGAACTCTTACAAAATCAAAGTGCTACAAGTATCCCGCATCTGACAAAGCTTGTGTCTTGTAGACTTCAGCCTTCAGAAGGCCCACAGACAAACAGAACACGCAGACAACAAGAATCACACCAGAACATTCAAAGCTATGTGTAGCATCTCCGATTGTGATGGGATCGCCCCTTGCTCTCCCCAACGCCCCGATCGCCGCTTGCTCTCCCCCGCAGCTCCGATCGCTATGACTCCCTCCCGCAGCTCCGATCGCTACGACTCCCTCCCGCAGCTCCGATCGCGGCATATGCTCTCTCCGGCAGCTCCGATCGCTGCATGCTCTCTCCGGCAGCTCCAATAGCTGCTTGGTCTGCCCCGCAACCCCGACCGCCGCGACTGCCCTTCACACGCCGATCGCTGTGGCGCCCTCCAAGAGGGTCGCCCCTAGTAGGATTGTGGCCCTGTCTGGTGCCAGACCGGTGCGAGTACGGTGCCAATCTGGTGCCAATCTGGCGCCGGTCTGGAAACGCGTCTAATGCACAGGGGGCATTCAGAGGACCCTCGTTTATCAAATCACCCCCCCCAGAGGACCCCTTTTGTCATCTTCCCAAATCCAAAATAGTGTGTTCCCTCACAGAGGCAGCTCTCAGAATTCAGTTGCAGACAGAACAGATATTTACAAACAAGTCCCTTCACTGCATGGATGAACTGTACAATATCAAATCATTCTTGTGGAGGACCACACGCCAGTACTTCTCCGTTCCAATGGCCATCATGACAGTATCCAGCAATGGCATTGCAGTGTTGTCATTGCCACAAAATGGCACACTTCAAAGCAAACCATTTGCAGCAACCTGACACAAACCGCCACCAATGGGCCCCAATTCTCGGATGGGCAACCAGCGTCGGGTCCATTGTAATGTCCACATCAGGCTCCAAAAAATGAACAATCTGGGAATTTGGCTTGGGCATCCTGAATGGAATGCTTGGTTTGCTCGTCCTGCCAATAATTAATCACTTCTGTGGTTTTGTTCAGCAGAAGAATTCTGTCTCTCTCTTGGATCCATGGCTTGCCTTCCAAACATGTTTTGAGCTCCTCCCAGGCGTCATTGCGTGGCCAAAAGAAGTATTCTGTCAAAGGGCTCTTCTGACCCTAGCCAAAACAAAACTTTACGTCACGCACAGACGCACACATACATGCATACTGGCACACCATTGTAAGAGAGACCTCTAGACCTTTCTGTTTTGACAGCCATACTGGCTCCTATGGACAAACACTGTTCATGCTACCCAAAGTCCTGCAGCACTGCCAAAATTGCCACGTTGATCCAAATGGCTTTTATGCATTGCAATGGTTGGGGGGTTATATAATCTTCAGCACAGAGTTTATCAAGCCAGCCAACTGAAATGTGGACTGGCTCTGCAGTGCACCACAACCCTAATGTTCCATGGCACTATGGACCGTTTCCCCTGGCACATTCTTCAGTCGACCCAACCAACAGCATATTGTACCATTGGAGTGGTACACTTTGATAGGTGGCAACCAAACGCAACAAGTCACAGGATTGCCAATCAAACGTTGCGACTCCAAAAAGTTGTGTCCATGAGTTGTTCTTTGCACTCCACATCCTATGGTGACAAAGTTATCCACACCAGTGGAGAACAAGACTGATGCAATGAACTGGACTGCACTGTCAACTTGAATCTTTAAGTACCAAAACACTTGCCAACGTGCAGAGGAACCCTCAAATGGTGTACATGCGGCTCTGCAAGTCAGTCTACCAGCTGTACAGAATCCGCAACTTCTGAAAGTCCTGACCACATGCAGCCACTATGTGCCCCAAACCGAAGGTTATTGGTATATTCCTGTGATATACACATACCTTACTTGTGTCAGTTTCCTTTTGCACTGAGTTGGTGCAGTTTACAGAAAAGAATAGTGCTGCAGACAGTGGCAATGCCACTGTGAACAACTTGTTTTGCCAACCAAGTCAGAATGCTACCACTCCACTTCCATCAGTCAGGAATCACGTTCAATGCATTTAATGTGCATGCTATGCATGTACCTAGAGGGACAACAACTGGGGTAGGCAACCGGAGGTTGCTGTGCACAGTAGTGGTGTTGTGGCAGAAAAAGTACTTCGTAATAAAGCTCCTCCTTTTGTGACAATGACCAGCACATTCTTGTTACGTGGTGCGCACTTATGGCGCATGCGACATACTGATAGCAAAACCCACACCTTGGAGAAAACCTGATCCACCGCCACAGCCACATTTCTGTCCAACCAGAGGAAGTTCAACTCATAGCCAGGTGCTGACAGAGATGCTGGATCTACCTATAAAGAAAACCACACACAATCTCACACACAAAAATTCTGAGGGAACATTGGCTTCACAGTGGGCTCTCACACTTGGACATGGACATTGTGAGCTGTCTTTGCATGTTCCAGTGGTGTGATATCCAGTTGTCAGCTCCACTATAATGAAAACAACACCATTACCCAGACCATGTTTAAACAAGACTCCTTGAAGTGGGTCCTGATATTGTTCTTCTTCTTCTTCTTCTTTTGCTGGCAGTGGCCCTAGTGGAAAAGTGGAAAAGAGAGCAAAACAATCTGAATGGTGGATTGTTCTTCTATGCTTGCTCACAGTCTATAAACTACACTGCTTGACACTTACACACAGAAGATTATATGGTTGTTGTGTCAGTGCATCCATCCCACTGTCAGCTTCATTCTTGTTGACAGCGGTACTACAAAGAGGAAGAGGGCCCAGTGTGTGGTGTTCTTCTGGTTGTGGCTTGATTTTCTTTTCAGGACACTTGTGATTCTCTTCTGTTATTAAAGAGCTCAGGGTCTTTCTGTGCTTGGGATCGGTCTGGATGTGTGTGTGGGACATACTGTGCGCATGTTTCTGTTCCTTGCAGCCATCCTTCATCGGTTGTACAAGGGCTTTCCTGTAACCACCATAGCCTCACGTTCCCAGGCTTCGATGTACAACTAGAGCATGTCTATTGCAAAGGGCCGACACACACGGATCAGTGGCCACCCCCCTCAGCCTGCCACAAGTACCTACAAGCCTGCCACAAGTACCACATGGCCGCAATGCTCCCAGGCTTGATGTCCTCCAGTCATTCAACACATAAACACACACACCGAATAGTATTGAGAGCACCTTCGATGTGCGCGTCCCCATTGTGTGGCATGTTTTCCTTCTGTTGCAAGGAGTCTTCCACCATGAGCATTGACGTGTGTGGCTTCAAAGGTCCCCATGCTCAAATGTACAAAGCTCTTCATTAGGCCATCAGGCTCGAGGAGCCTACAGCAACTTGGAAGTGCAGACTTCGCAGAAAGCACTGACGCGAGCAGCCAGCAGGACAGTGGGGTCCACAGAAAACAGTGTTTCACTTCATACCTTTTCTTCTTCAGCATCGCTTGCACCCTCAGCTGCTTCAATGACGGGTTCCTCTGATGCAGGTTCTGCCGTCGCTCCTTCCTCCTCGGTGTCGTCCTCGCCAGCCAGCAACGCCTCGACTTCAGCAATTTCGACGGGGTCTTCGTCGCCGTCGTCCTCAACATCGACGAACTGCACTCACAAAATCACGTCGTTCAATTATTGCCAAGTCCAAAACAATGCGGACAGCTGTCCAGCGTAGTGACCTGAGTTCAGCGGTGACGCAAGTAGACCTGACTGTGCGTGAACGGTCAGCGCCACTGACCTGTGAACTCGACACGCAGACGGGCTGTGGACGCCGCTTAGCCGCCGCGAAGGCGCCTAACCAATTGGGCTGTACTGCCGTACATGTTCCGCCCGCAGGGCATTGCACCCTGGGCACAGGGGCTCGAGACGCCTGGGCCAAAAGACATCCACACAACACCCTCCAATGAGCAATTATCACTTTCAGCCAACACGATTGCCAGAGCAGGACGCCAACGAAACAGCGGAGCCCTAATTGGGCACACAGGCTGGAATCTCCACAAGGTGTAACCGCCACAACCATTGAATGGTGGGAGAGGCACAAGGGCTGCCAATCGCATTCGCGCGCAACCTTCCACCAACGAACAGTAGGCATTAAAGGCAATTCCGCCATCGTGCATGGCCCTGCACAGTCCCAGCCCACAAGAAACCACCTGCGTCGCTGGCCTGAAGACAAAGTGCCTGGCGTTTCTTCCCGGACTCCTGCCCAGGGCGACTGGAATAATGGGTAATGCTGCTCACGACACCGAGTATGGGGTTGCGGTGGCGACGCATTTTTGGAGTGGGGAACTTGTGTTTTTCTTTTGCTCGGCGACGCCGTTGCCCATGCTGAGGGCGAGGTGTGTGCCTTGTCGCTGGTGCTGGGGAGTGGTGTAGTGATCGTTGCTTGGGGGACGTTATCATGTAATATGGGCATATCCACTAGCCGTACATCGCCCTACATCGCATTTCTTGTGAATGGGCCCCGTCTTGGATTGTGCGTAAATATGACTGTTTCTCTACTTGCGCGTTTCTACGTGTAAAAATGTAAACATGAAAATAGTGCCGTAAACGCAAATGAAAAGCCTTGGCGCATGCGTAATGGTGAATACAAAAGGTGCCAGCCATCAGGCTTGCAGAATGTGCAGACTGCGGCCTGCTCCGGCTGTACATTTGTGGCGCTCAAATTCCCTGTCAAGCCACTTGTGCTGGGGACGGATTTCAAGTCCTTTGCGGTATGCACCATAGGACATGTGCCATGCAATCTATCGTGTTTCGACAATCACCTGAACGCTCCCAGGGTGCTGGACGCTGGAATAGTATGTGATGAGCTGTGGCCTGCAGTGGGATCATCGTCGCTATGGACAAAGCCATACTTGGTGTAAGGCAGGGGGTACGGTGACATTGTTGAAACAGAAAGGGAAATGTCCTTGGCGACGAAACAACTAAAACCCTGAAAGACAAACATTGGTATTCGACTGGCCAATTGTAAAGCAGATATAGGCACTGGGCAAATGCCCAATCGCTGGTGTTTGGATGGACAGGGCAAGGGATGTTTCAGGCAAGTAGGCAGGCTGCCAACAGACGGCAAATACGTTCCTTCGAAGGAACGTATCGAATTCGATATTTGTAGACCAGGCTTTGGGGGTAACCGCTGTGGTATTCCACTGCACAAATTGGCAGCGCACTCTGCATCTTCTACAATGAATCTTGCCAGATACGGTGTGCAGGATTGAACCCTGGCTCGCCTCCCAGAGCTTCCTTGGTTCACTTCCCAGTTGCAGTTACGGGGCATTCCACACCGTAATGCAGAACAAGAAGATGTTGTCACTTGCACACAAGCGCAAGTCCACAACTTTGATTATTTTTCAGGTTCAAATGAAATGTTGCAGCTGCAAACATCAGGGCGACCTGGGAATAGGAACCATTGAATAAACCATCTTTACTGCCTACCTCAAATCATTCAGATCTTTTCCCAGAGTCAGGCGCGAAACGAAATCCAGGTGCCAGAAGTATTACACGGCCTACATCGACCTGCATGATGCTGGTTCCCTTTACGAATGCCCTGTCTTGCAATTGAGATAGTGTGCCTAGTGCAGCAGGCTTTGAAGTCTCAACGCACCGCTGCAGATGTATGCAGGGCCCTGCCCAGTGCCCAGCTTCGCAACACCGAACTGTGCAAAGAGGCACAATCTCCTAACAGTGAGCGAAACCGCAGCTATGTGCTGCGGCAACTGGATAGTCTTGTTCTCAGTGAATACTCCAGTAAAACACGATGGTGCGCCCCAGTTGTGAATCTGCTTGTTCGTCCCACACAGTTCAGACAGTGAGGAATCCGAGACTGAGGAACCCAGTGCCCTGAACCCTCATGACGGTAGCCTATCATGCAGTGTCAAGAAAGCACTTGGCCACATCAGCTGCATGATCAGAGCTCTCTGGGCAAGCACGGTGTTTGCCAGCCAGCCACAGGCATTGCAGCCATGGCAGTGGCACAAGTATGAACCATCACTTGCTTTCCGTCGCACAAGAACCATTCCAGTGCTGCAATCCATGCTCCACCTGGCACTCCCATCTATCCATCTAAGTTCGAATTTAGCTAGCACTAAATAGCTTTGGCGTGCGCTTTTTGGCAGAGGCTTTCTGTCAGGTCGCTGGACCTTGTTTCAAAGTTTGTTCCACATCCCAACTTATTTTGCACAAGAGGTTCCCCTAAAACTCACGTTGCAAACCACCTGTGTCTCTGTGTTCAGCATTATTTCCACATCTTCAAGGTCTTTTGTGTGACCCCGAACGCCACCTTGTTTCCCACCTCTACCCCGCCAGTGTGGTCCGCAATGATGTGAATTCCCCCGTGCAGCCTTGAGATTCCTGCGTCCTCAGAGGCATCATCCCATGTGTCCCAGCAAAGGACAACGTCCTCTGCAGGCACGTACCCTGTGTGCAGCAGTTGCTAATTGCTCAACCAGAAAGACTCATGCACACAGCCGACAATGGCAATGATGCTCACCATGGTGGACAGCACGGTGTGTACAGCCCACACTGCTGATTACACAAAGCGAAGGGGCAAGCTGAATGACACAGATGAAAATTTACAGAGCACAGGAACATGAAGCAAGATGCACAAATCTCAGTCCTATGTTCCTGAACAGATTGTAACAACAGGGATTCTTGTGCAGGGGACACAACCGGAACTGCAGGGAAGCGATCCCTTTCCTGCCTTGGTCCGGACCAAGTGCAGAATATTGATGGCATTAACATCGATACATAGATTGTCTTTTCCCACCGTCCTTCGATATGTCACAAGCCCTCTTTGGCACCCACCTCTCGTTTTGGGGCCTTGATTTGGAACGTCTGTCAGGTCCTCCACATAGAACTCGCCACCCGGGTCAATACGGCCCTCGAACAGGCTGCTTCCCTCCAGGATCCTCCGGCACTTCGGTGCCATATACTCCTCCGTCCTGAAGTAATGCTTCAGAACTTGAGAGGCTGCGGCGCTGAAGGTTGAATGGCCACTGACATAACCTGCAAATGGCGGAGTGACAAATGTTGTTGCCTGGTAGGGCTGCCAGGATGATGCGTTGATTGTGTCAACACCCATGTATGGCTTTGTCCAAGCCTCCACTTCTTTCCCAGCAAATCCACACTGGATCATCTGCAGGGGCCGGATGGAGTCGTAGTAGACCTTGGCGCTCCATGAACCAACTCCAGCATCGTTCAGAGCCATGCCAACAAGAAACAGAACCTTCACTGTCTCCACAATGTCCAGGTTCTGCGAATCAGCAAGAAAACAGCAATCAGCACTGTGGAAGGCAGTGCCAGGCAATGTCATGCAGTCGGGCTCATAACAATCAAAAGTAGGAGTGTGGCAGAAGATGCAGTGGGCAGTGTTGCAAGCCATCAAATGTTCTTTCTGCAATTTCTTGTAACTGCCAACCATATAATCGACAAGCATGCAACCTTGGAAGATGTGATTCTTGGCTGCATCTGCAACTTCATGAAGCCAGTGGAACAGACAACGGATACCAGTGCCTAATTCTTCAGGATAACCCCTGTTCCACCAAACAGCTGTGGCAACATCGCTGCATCTTTGTGACAGTGCTAAGCCCACTCTGAAAAGCACAGAACCAAGTCCAGCTGTGCAGATCCCCACGTGCACTCTACCTGTGTCTCGGCTGCCTCAATTGCCACCCTGTACCAATGGCCAGGGGGAAAAGTGCTGTCTGGGCCATCCGCCCAGTGCTCTGCTTTCAGCTTGTTGACGTCATTCAGAGCAGCTGAGTATCTAATAACCTCACGCGCCTGGAGCAAAATTAAGCTAAGCTAAACACTTCAGCACTTTAATACACACTTATGTCGAATGCGTCAGTTAAGCTGTGGCTGCATTGAATTTTCAATTTCACATTGCCTATAGTCCAATTTTGCAGAGTGCGGAAGGTATGAAATTCCAGAGGGGCACCCTTCGCAGGCAGCATAATGCGCACACACTAATTGCACGTATTGGCCCCATTACATGACCTCGCTGCTGACATGGCACCAAATCTTCTGCAGGTCCTGCCAGGAATCAAATTTTGCTGCAGGTGGCATTCCAAGTAGGTACTCCCATTCACTGAATCCACAGGTCTAGCAAATGCACGTGTTTGCAGCAGTGATTAAACTATCAAGAAACAAAGCAGTGAAGCCAGACCCTGCATGTACCTGTTTCTTCCATTCGGCTTTGTCTCCATTCTGTATGGCTGGTGGTCCCGATGTAGGTATAACCGAGTCGCCACTGTGAATGCCAAATGTGGTCATGTTGCCAGCCCCAGGGGACAGAAAGTTTTGCACCTGTTGTAGGGAACAACAGAACCATGAGCACCACCTCTCTCGGCACTCTACCAAGGTGAGCACAGCATCTTAATCTCTCGATTTTGCATTGCTAAGATAGTCGCAAGCCTTTGCTGCCCAAGATGGTTTTGATTGGTTGCAATCGTGTGTCAATGTACCCAACTCATGAAACCAGTGAAGGGAAATAGTACACTGGCACAGGATTTCACAGTGCCAAGCTTTATTCCACAAAATGGCTAAAAATGCACCAGAAATAGATGTGGAAGCACTGTGGGGTATCAAATCTGCAATTTGCATGCAACCACTGAGTCGTACTGCGTCTAAAGTATTGAAATGCACTGTTTCCTTGGCACAGGGTCAATACGGGAGACTGTTTTGATATATGTGATTTTTTCATCTCACTGCCTGGCCATATGTAGAAAAAACCCTAGTCTTGTTTAGCCACATGGACACTTTGTAAGAGCACGGTGTAAGAGCATGAATGCGAGTCTCACGTTGCACTCTTCTGAGCCGTATTTCACTGGCACACACAATGGCTGCCAATAGTCCCTGTCCATGATCTCCGCAGAGCAATTTGTGATGCCAGGCCTGCTTTGTGGCTTGTTCTTTGGCGTGTAATTGCTGGCGGTCCCTGCTTCACAGAAATTGTGTCTTCAGCTGAGCGTTCATCGTCATCCCAAAGTCTCATTTCCCAAATAAAACTCTCAATGACATTCAGCCCACTCCACAGCAACTGTTCCTGCGCAGTAACAGCCTGCTACAAGAGTAGAAAGCTCATGACACACCACAACGAGATTCAAGGCATGAGCGAGAGAAACCAACTGGGGCCAGTGGTCAGGGTCAGGGAATGTTGTCCTTTCCCTCAAAGAATGGACTTCATGATGTGTTTACCTTCTTTGGGGTTCGCCAGGACATCAAACCCATCTTCCGTGAACTCTATCATTACATCCTCACAGACGTCGTGCCCAAGCTGGTAAGACTGCTGCTGTCCAATGTTGTAGTTGGACAGAACTTGATCAGTAATGTTGCTGTCTGCAGCTGCAGTGGACGGCACTCCTGAGGAGACTGTGAGAATGTAATCCACGGCAATGCTCAACGATTCCTTTCCCTCAAACATCCTTTGTATTGCTGTGAATGCTGCTCCATCGATAGCTGCTTCAGGGTCGAATCCTGTGCAAAGCAGCCATAAAAATGCACCGATTAGACACACATTCAATGCAGCCGAAAGTTGATAATGGGCAAACGTTTTCACAAATTTCATTGCCATGCTTTGCTCCACAGGATTTTCAATAGCGTGCGGCTGGGCATGAATTATTGCATTCGATTTATATCTCAATGCCCTGTGTCAATTGATGAACCAAGAGCCATTTCGAGCTGGTTCACCTTTTGAACAGAATAACACTGTCCCAATGCCTACCAGCCCATATCACCTGACTTATCAAGCAATCGCCCTGCACATTCAACACAGGCATGATCCGATGAATGCTGCGTCATTCTTCTTTACATGAATCTTCTCGATTGTGTCTCAGATACTTATAACAGAACATGCAACTGCACAAATAAGAGCCACATAGCAGTGTGGCTGCTGTCAGTGTCCTAACACAGAAATCGACAACTGTATGCAAAAGAATTGCTCCATTTCAAGCTTCATTCGCACATGCTGAACAATGTCCCGATCCAGCGAATGAAATAAGGGAGACTTGCACAACATCCAGCAAGTTCAGCCACGTCTTGCTGTACATACATGCTCGATCTTCGCCATCGCTTATAGTTATCCCTTTGCTGCTGTCAAGCATATGAAAATGACCAGTACGGCAAATGCAAAGCAGGTCTCCATGACAGCACCCAGCCACCAAAGGCAGAAAGGCAGCTGTACTGTGTGACAATCTTGCTACCATTGGGCGATCTGTCAGAGCGCCAGTCCACAATGTCTGTGGGATCACTAAAAGTTTTGCAGGCTTCAGAATTTGCAAAACTGACTTTAACAATGACTTACTGAGGGCAATAGCTCCATTTGAGGCCAGGATTCCAGGGTTCTGGTTTGGCTGCAGTCAGGTGGCCTGCTGCAGCCTGAGGTTGCAAACACCATTTCCTTGACCATTGCTGCAAAGTTCTGCAGGTCTGCAGCCTGAAGCTCAAGGCAATTGCAACAAACATAAACAAATTATATGCCCCTCCAGATCCATGCTTGTGCTGGGACAAATGCTGAGGGCAAGTGCTGGGGAACGAGGTACCTGAAGGTCCTTCACCAATCACAAACACATTCTCCAGAGGTGCAAGCCCAGCTGCTTTACGCCTCTTTCTTGCCTTCCTGGTACCAACGTAGGCTTCCTTCATGTCGGGGCTTTCCAGCGCAATCGTATCGTGCATGCATGCACTGAAGATGCCCAATGCACGAGCCACACCTGGGGGAGACAACTCCCCCAGATTTGCTTTGACCTTAAACCAAAGAACCAGAGAATAGACTTGCTGTCAGGGAAGCCCAAATCCGATGCACAAAATACCAGAGTTGCGTCAGCTCTCCAGATCAGTCGTATCCCTGAGCAAAAGAACTGCATGTTGACCCGTGCATCTCACTGTTGCCAGCTTGCATGGTTCCACAACAGCTTTGCAAAACATGCACGTTTGGATGGCACTCCACAGGGAGCAAGGGGTGAAAACAAGGGTACAACACAGGGTACAACTACCACTCAGACAGGGAACTGCAGACTGCACGCACACTTGGAGACCCACGGTCACCTGGAGGAGAAACACAGTTCCCCACTGGGTCGCCCGGTTTCCTACTTCCAAATCGGGCACAGGGGGCAGAGGTTTTTCGAATTCACTCTCATCTGCACAGGTTTGCTCGCAGCTGGGCGGCCCATAAGTAACTGACGAACCTTCGACAGCACACAATGTACACCAAATGAATCTTGCATGGACACCACATTATAGTAGGGGAAGAATGCGAATTGCAGTAAAACAAGATACCATTGGTGCAACGTTTGGCCTGTTGGCAGTGAAGTGCCTTGCAAGTGTCCTTGACATGCTTCAATGTCAAATCGAGCTATCCTGGATCCTTCTGGAAAGTCCAGAAGACATGCACAGCAGTACCTTGTTGGATGCACGCCAGGACCACAAGAGCAGCCAGCAGTGCAGCAGTCAAAGCACCAGCAGGCCTCATTGTGTCCCTGCAGATGCGAAACTGAGAGTAGTCACATAGTCTTAGCAATTTCCAGCAGAGGATGCAACTAAAGCACCAGAGCTGCTCCCCTCTCTGCCAGCCGTAAGTTGTCACAGCGAGTGTGATAAGAAATTCAGCAGCAACAACCATCCTTGATGAAAGCTTGCAACTTGCAGGGCAGGACAGGACTCCTAGTTAGGCCGATCGATGGTAGCTTCCCAGCATTATTTGTATGTCAACATGTGTGGCACACACAATAGCAACACTGTCCACCTTTCCAGTCACCAAGGCCAGCTCTTCTATTGTATATGAGCCTCCCTGGACAATGAGAAGTGCAAGGTCCAGCATCTGTCCCCAGGAATAGGCTGTCCATCAGGATCGGCAGCTGAGGGTCGACAGCTGTCCCCACAAAAGCAACTCTCCAGAATGTGTAGTTGATATCATTTTGCAAGCCATGAGGGCCTGACAATAAGGGAGATGGCAAGGATGATCACTCCCACGCCACCTAAAAATTCTGTTGCTATGAAGCTGTATAGATTTTCTGCCCTCCAACACATGCTTTTGCGAAATTGCAGACTCTCCGAGTCTAGCCATCAGTCATGCTGGCAGCATGAGTGGAACTTTCAGTTGCTCATATGGCACCCCCTTTGGTTCAAAGAGATTCGTTGAGACAGCAGCGGCGTGCATACAGCTGGTGGCAAGCAGCGAAAACGCACAGGAAACGAGTTGCCTCGCCATTCGCTGGTTCGTGGTGCAGCGAGATGGGAGAAACGAGGTGTGGCTTCACGAAATCAACCTACAAACCGCTCATGCCATTGTCCAAAGCCAACAATGAAGCATCCGTTGCATCCGATCAACCGTCAGATTAGCAACATTGCTAGGGGATTCATACGAAACAACGCTTCACGCTTCCTTCACGATTCGCTGCTAATCACCAAAACAACCCTTGCGTCCAATTGCCGGAATGTTGCAAAGTGTATCGGTTGCGAAGTGTATCGCCTGCGAAGCGGCTCCCGATGTTGCATCGGGAGCCGCACCTCGCGTGGGACGATCCCAATTGCCCTCTGACCTGCCCCTTGAAATGCGCTTAAAAATTGTCTTGCCGGACAGGGATTGACATGAACATAGGGTAGGCATCGAGCGAGCTGTACTTGAAGGGATGATGTGGCCCATGCTGCTCTTGGGCGCCCCGATGCAGATAGGGTCACTGAGCGGGCCGTCCGCGGCTCGACTACCACAGGGCTCCTTCCCACGGTCCCCACGGAAACGGTTTCGGGTTGCGTCCCGTCTTCACACGGAGGTCGCGGAACGCTGTTTGTGGATGGGTTGTTTGGTTGACGCCACTGAGCGCCGTGTAGGAAGGTGCGCCAATCCTGGCACTCGATCCCGAGTCCACGGCCCCCGCTCCGAGCGAGACCAAGCATTGGTCATGCACAACCCGCTAGAGGCGACCAGGACACCGGACATGTGGGGAACACCGGTGCGAGAGTCTCCCATCGCGCGAATTCATGCATGGAAACGGAGGCGAGGCTGCGCGAGTAAACATCGGCGGGGGTGCGAGTTCGCCACCTGGACGGTACAGGCCTGTGGCCAGCTATGGGAGCGACCCATTGCCAGCCACCAACGCGGGCAAGCAACTCATCGGAAATTCGGGCAGCCAGCGCCTAGCCAGCTTGCCGTACTGCGACTTGGTTCCGCACACCAGTTCACGAGCAAGTTCCCGTTGTCCAGCACGGTTCCCGTGGCCCGAGTCCATACGGGCGTCGCGGCCCTTTGCTGTACTGAATTCTCACCCGCCAGTCATGATTGGACAGGCTGGGGCGACGCGGCATTCCCGCCCATCGCCGCCGAGGCGATGATTTGCCTTGAACGGCGCGGTCAGGAGCGCGACCCGCACCTTGACGCCCGAGAGGAGGTTCCCCTCCCCGTGGGCACCGCCAGGGGCCTCTGGTTGCGTCCTCCGGGTCCCGGCAGCGGTCGGCGGCCGCAGGGGGGCACGCCGGCCAGCGCGTATCTAGGCCAGGAAGGTGGGTCGGCGCGGTGCCTCTCGTCGTTCAAGTAGCTTACAATGGCCGGGATTCATGTGATGGGCGTGCACTGCTGGCGATACAGCCCCACGCATTCGCTTGCATGCCATGCAGAACCGTGACGTCGTCGGTCCTGGGCGCAGGCTCACTGACCCCAACGAGAACGCTTGGGGTCGTTGACTGCTCACGTGTCCCTTCCCTGGAACGTCTGCACCCGAAACCCCCCTCACATGCGCCCTTCATTTCGTTAGTGTCCGCCCACGAGAGCCCATCAGTCCTTGACGATGCTGACAAGCACCCTCGTTTTTGTACCACGCTGGTCCACGCCTCTGTCGCTGTCCCAACCTTCAGCAACCTGTCCTGCACATGCAGGACACTGCCAACCTGTAGTACAGCTGCAGTGCCCCAAGCATCAGCTTGTTGCAAACGGCACTCCCAACACGGTGGCATCATGATCAGGTTCGCCACAAAAAAGCAGGCCAAAACAACAGGTGCTTGAACACATAGGCACCCACACGTTTGACTCGGCTCCACGCCGGCAGCGTCGCTACAACGTCATCCACCACTTGACGGGTCCACAATGGACATGCCCATCAAATGGAAGAAAAGGGTTGGTCACGTTATCACGGAGTTGTCGCCCAAAAAGAAGCTGGAAAAAAATGAGTCACAGCTGCCCCATGGATGGTGGGAATCCATTTGACGAGGAATACCTGTGGGAAGCCGTCGGGGTTGCAAAAATGCATTTGTGCGCATGCGCGGCTGAGGGGGCCGACTGACCACATCTTGCCCCACGATACTGCAGATGGACATCTGATCAGGCAGACGTGGGGAGGGACTGGAGACACCCGACGCCATTTGGGGTGATGATTGCGACATTCGTTTTGCTGTCAGCCGGCCCCGGACAGTATGAACCAACCATCAATATGTCCGGGCACACTTTCAAGGAGAGACATGTCTTGGTGTCGAAGGGGTAACCTTGGCCGGCTTTCTTTCAACGTCGGAGGGCATCCTCTCTATTGGAGTAGAGCCCACGACGGTCATTTAACGCCTTCGTGACTAGCGCCAATTTTTAATCCGACCAAGTCCACGTCTTGGACCCTAAACTCCTCGTCACCTGGCAGCGTGTTGGTGTTGTGCACACCTGATTCATCGTTAGATGGTGAGAGTATCTGCAACAATCCTCAGTCTCTGTTCCATCGTAACTCCTGGCCACATGCCGCTAACCCTCCGCCCAAGGGTCGCCCCCACTGAGGCAACTATGTTGGCCCCCCTGGGTGTTTCGTGGCCCCTGTTTGATTGACTGTCCGGGGCGAGGACCCCGCCATGCAGGACGGGCAGTACAATATTTCGGCAGTGATTATGCATGGCATCAGGTAGTCATCAGCTGGAGCTGTGATGGAATATATCAATGCGCACTTCAAACTGTGCCTCCAGGAAGCAGATGGTATGTTTCTCTACGTCCATACACCATTTCCTGCACTGCGTTCCATAGCAGTAGACATCTGCTGGAGTGTAGAGCGTTCACTTAGAATGCAATGCAACCAAGTCTTGTGGCACTTCATCTTAGCGAACCATTCACATGATTCACAAATGTTCCTAAATCCGACGTCGTGCTAGCAAAACGGCGGCAGCCGCCGCGCTCGAGCCGCCCAGAGGCGGGCATCCTGTAATAGGTTGAGGTATTCCTTTCTCTTAGCTGACCTCTAGTCACACTTAAGACTGGCCGGCTCGTCAACAATGCTCAATAGGAATATCCCAACGTGCTCGCACGCCTGCGTTGCTGCACTTTGGCACGGAATAGATATCTCTTCCCGTTTTGAAGCTGACATACAAATCGCAAGTTCGAGTCAACCAGCTGACACACCATCCCGCCCCAAACGGGGGTATATACCAAGAAAAGATACATCGCGCGACAAACTCCACTCTCTTTTCCAACCATTTTTCCATTTCTCTTTGGACTCTACTCCGGCGACTCGAGGTGGGAAGCGGTTTCTGACGTGTTAGTGTTCTGTCCGTGAGGCTCAATGAGCGCAAGGTTGCACACAACAAGGTGCTAACCCTTACTTGCACATACTTATCGGATCCTAATGAGCCTCTTACGAATTGTGCGTCCTCCGATAGCTATCTTCCTATAGGCTACTGTGCAACGGGTGAAAGTGTGTTCAACACAAAGCGCACATGGCAATTTTGGAGAAAACTGCAGAAATTGCCCAGTCCTCTCTCGCCCGTGCGCCTCGCATGCTCTGTCAGCCTTTCACTGCCCATTGTTCCACAAGGCCGAGGCTTTCTCATAGACGCTGCTGGCAACCTTATGTCCCATTTTCTTGCCCTCAATGTGGTCAGCAATTATGTGGATGCCCCCATGAAGTCTTGAAATCCCTGCATCTTCAGCGCCCTCCTCAAACGTCTCCCAGCAGAGGACAACATCCTGTGCAGGAACGTAACCTGGAAAGGAAAGCACAGTGAAGGTAAGCAAGTCGTACACCACAACAACTTAACAATTAAACTGGATCTGCAAATCTAAAATACACAATGATTAACGTTGCCACAGGAACAAGTTGTTCCTGCTACAGTGTCACATCTTTCAGCACCACATGCTCACCAAGTGTTAGAGAACTTCTGAGCTTTCATCCTGTGCACTCTTCATGCTCATCCTGCCTTACACTTGTTGCATACCAAAGTATCATTCTAAGTAACGCTAATCATACTTGCACCATTGATGGTACTTCACTTCACACAGTTAACATATCTGACAGTACCCAATGCGAATTAGGCAACACCAGCCACCTCACTTGGAGGCCCCACCAACTGTGGCAACGCCCCCACCTGTTGTTTTGCTTCCCGTGTTCGGCTTGTCTGTCAGGTTTTTGACATAACCATCCTGGCCTTTCACAATCTTCCCCTCGAACAGGCTGCTGCCTTCAGCAATCCTCCTGCACTTGGGCGCCAAGTACGAATCGCCCCCAAAGTAGTCTCTTAGTACGGCAGCACCCGCAGCACTGAAGGTGGAATGGCCGCTCACATATCCTGGAAAGGGAGGAGTAACAAATGTCGTTGCTTGGTAAGGCTGCCATGAAGACGCTTCCACCTTGCCAACGCCCAGGTATGGACCCTTCCAGGCCTCAACAACCTCTCCTGCCGATCCGCATTGTATCATTTGCAGGGGCCGCACAGAGTCGAAGCTGACCTTGGCAGCCCAGCTCACCACGCCGGCGTCATTCAAAGCAGTGCCCACCAGGAACAAGACCTTCAAAGTCTCTTTGAGATCTAGGTTCTGGGCGCACAGAACGTAATCCTACGGTGAGACGTCCGGCGCATAATGAAATGGCCTGTAGATAACCATGTTGCCTTCATGTATATCATTCTTACTTCCTAGGGATGAGGTCATGAAAGCATGCAGGAAGGTACTTGGGTCGAAGCAGGTGCACAAGAAGCAGTGCTAAGACAGCCACAGTTACATTCCAAATATCTTCTTGTGCAGGTGCGTTTCCAGCAGCCATGCTGTGTGCAGAACAGGCCTGAGGGAATCCGTCGTCTAAGGTGGGCAAAGTCAAACAAAGGGGTACAGCATCATGTCCGTCAAGCATGAGAACAAACCAAGTGCAGGGACATCAAAGCATCCCTCTTTTCATTCTCACATGATGAATCTTCGGTTCAAAGTGAATGCTCCATAGCTATGCTGGCACTGTAAGCCTTGGATCCATGTTTGTATGGATTGCAAGCTACTCGCATCCCAGAGACGCAATGAGATAGCCCGCGATGCCATTTCCCACAGCATCAGGTTTTCCTTGCCGCTGTGGACATTTTATGCACGTGCTGTGCACTGATGATTTCACTGTGGCATCATCCAACAAATCACGCAGTTCAGTTTGCCACATCAGTGATCCCAGAATCTGTGGGCACATATCTTCTTCTTTGCCAATACGGCTATGGGCACATACCTGTTTCTTTGCAGCCCCCATAGCAATCCTGAACCAATGACCTGGTGGAAAAGTGGAATCTGGGCCATCTGCCCAGTGCTCAGCTGTCAACTTGGATGTGTCATTGAGCTCAGCAGAGTACTTGAGAACTTCAGCAGCCTGCGCAATAAAGTTTTGGCTAAATTCTCTCTCTCAAGAAAGCTGGAGAAAATAGCATCCATCCATGTAAAGTAGGACTGCTTACCGTATCATCAATTTAGCAATCTGCAATGTGCACGAGCAACTCTGTATCTGAGCAGCCTCCCCTGGCAAGAGCGTTCTCCATCATCACAAGATGAATGTCTATCAGTAATACCTAGCTACAACTGAAATCAGCCTCAATGACAGTGCATTTGACAGCAGGATCCCACACGTGTTTTTGTGAAGCCTCTTTGCCACATGCCTGCTTTCTCCATTCTGACTCCTGCCCATCCTCAAAGAGTGGTTGTGGTCCCTCAGGCATGTAGTCAGCAGTGTCTGAAATGGCAAAAGTATTCATTTCTGGTGCAAGACCTCCCAGCAACTCCTGAACCTGTACATGCGAGCACACAGCATCATCAGGAACAGATATTTTGCTGCACCTGCAGACTGCCGGAGTTGCAGTTTGAAGGGAAATTTTGGCAAGGCAAGCGTTGCATCTTACAAAACTTGCATTCTCTGGAGGAGGGTCGCAGCTGAATATGTCGTGTTTCTTTGTTTTGCAAATTTTTCAATGTTACTACATCTCAAGAAGGAGCTCATGGGATGTCTTTGCCATTCGCGGTGTCGTGGCATCAACCAATCCCACTGACCACCACGATGTTTCCAGTTCCAATTTTGCCCTCAATGCGAAGGTGTTCTGTGTTCACACACACTGCCTGATAGTCCAAAGGGCAGTCAAAAGTGTATGTTCTGCAGTCCATTTTGGACCACCTCCAAAGAAAGAATGAAACACGTGTTTGTGAAAATCTCACAAACCTCAATATACACCATCGTGCAAAAGGTCCTTTGGAGGTGCTGCATACCACATTTCATCAATTTCCCATTTATCAGCTCACCGTGCACTGCTTGGACAAGAACTTATCAGGCACACACAGCGGCTGCCAATGATCAAGAGATTTCATCTCTTCAGCACAGTTTGTGATGCCAGGCTTCTCTTGGGCCTTGTTCACAGGCTCATAGGTCAGCTTGAATTCTGCAGTTGTGAAGCAGATGGTGTCAGTGCACTTCAAGCAAAAGTAATGGTGTGAAAGGGGAATGACACAGGGCCAATTGTGAACGATGTTCGTGGTTGCGGATCCGCAACCATACGTACCCATACATACACACGAATTCGAAGAACAGTAATTCCTACGAAATTTGCGCGGACACACTACATTCATTGCAGAGCTTCATTTGATAAAAAACGGCGTCAAGGTAGTCTACAGATGCGCACACAAGCTCTGCCTTCATGGTTTTGGCAGCTGGAAAACAGTATATCATGATGGCAGTCTGGCTTGTGAAGCATATGGTCTGCCCGGTTTAGACATTTGTTGCACTAAAACTTGCACAGCTTACAGTGTCTGACTTAAGATGCACACACGTGCATGCAAAACATTGGTGCAGGTGTAAACGCACTGCAAGAATCAGGTAACGTTGCAAATCATCATCCCTGCAGTTCACCTTTTGCTGGATTTCCGACAGCATCGAATCCATCCTTTGTGAAAGCTGTGAGGACCTCCCCACAGGCCTGCTTCCCATATGTGAATGATCTAAACTCTGGATCCTCAATGAACCCCAACGACTGGAAAACCAGGTCATCTGACAGCTCGAAAGCCGATACCCGTTTTCCAGATGCTTCATACATGAACTGGTACACCTTTTGCATGGAAGGCTTTCCATGGAACATTGCACCTATTGCGTGGTAAGCGGCGCCATCTATCATCAAGCTGGGGTTGGCATCTGTGAAGCAGCAGCATCATGCACTATGTCAGTGGGGCATCCTCAATTTCGACCAGGACTACTTTGCAACACCTGGAAATGACATAATGAAGTGATCTTTTTCGATCCTGAGGGTAAAAGGCCAGCATCTTGTTGGTGCAGGCAGCACAATTGGAGAAGATACTTTGGATTTTCAAAGACATATGCTTCAAACTGGAGCCAACACAGCATTCTGTGATTTGCAAGGTCTCTCATACGTGAATTAGTTTTAGGCGCAGATTTTCGACCATGTTTGTACTGCAATGTTCGATGCATGACTTCAATGCATCTCACCTGGGTCGCGCGTAACGGCTTTGAAGGCGTAGGCTGGCTCCATATCTTCACTGTGAGCAGCAACTGCATCATGGAGGCACGCACTGAAGACGCCCAGAGCACGAGAAACACCAGGAGGGCTCAAATCATTCTGATTGTCACGAATCTGCAATCGCAACGCTAATCCCGTTAGACTTTCTGTACCCACGAGAAATGCTGTTCTCCAATGTTCCTATGGTGTCTTGTGAAATGCGGCCGTCCAGGCGGAACAAACATTATGTGAAACACAGCAATCTCAATACAATTTACATGGAGAGTAGAAGACACTTGCGTAGAGTCGTCTGAAGCGTGTCTATGCCTGCCTCTCTTGACTCTGTGGCCTCTGCTGAGTTGTCTAAAGTGTGAATATCGAGGAAAATTCAAGGTTCCACTGAACAATCAGGGTGTGGTCGCGATTGCGCTGCAGCACGTCGACAAAAATCGGACATCTGGATGAGCGGCTGAATTTGGACATTCTGGCTGACAACAAGCTTCGAAACACTCATCCGTGCAGGGCAATGAATGCGTCGTTCTGACAGACAACTTGCATGTCAGCTTCCGATCATTGCATATTCAGCATATTCTATTGCATTTCATGAAATTTTCTGAGCTTGGAGACTTTCGCCTCGTGTCCCACGCCCTTGAAAGAAGTGAAAATTCTCAGTCCTGCTGCGCGCGCCATCGCTGGCCAACTTTGGTCTTGATTGACCCCCAAGTTGACGAGCGATATCACGCATCAGGCCGTTCGTGAGGAACGTGTTCTTGTCCGCTCTTGCACGATGATGAAATATCTCAGGGGCCAAAGACTAGCGCGCGTCTCATTCCCTGATCATCAAGCCCGCCATACTAGCTGTACCCATTCTGACAGCTCCAAATCATGGAGGAGAGGCATTACCTGGTTCAGCAGAACTACGGACCATTGGTGGGCCCTGTTGTCGTCGTTGGGGTCTGGATGCTCCGGCAAATGGTCCTCGTATTCATCCTCCTTGGAACAGATGGACTCGCATTTGGACGGGAAGAACACTTCGGCGGCACCTGCGCAACCGATAACCACCCACCCCCTTGAAACCGTACCTGGGCGACCATTCCCTGGAAGTCTTGGAGGGCTGCGTCAGGGCAGTCGTCTGAAGGTGCGGAACGCACCAAATATAGAACCCTCACTGAAGACAGCCATACAGTTTGCAAAAGCAGAATTGGAGAGCCTGATGGTTCAAGCTGCGGTGTCTTTTGAAACCTCCTGCCCCTGGCGGCATCGTCGCAGGACTCACCTTCATGCGCCAGCAACAGGGCTACAAAGAGTGCAAGGGCGACGCAGAAAATCCGCCGATGGCCGACGGACGCCTTCCACCTCATGCTTCCCTCCATGGCCGTCCGCCTGGTCCCGCTGCCCCTGCGAAACGACCATCGCGGACACGACGTGGGCCAATGGCCAACGCTGCTTGCCCGCAGGAACTCCCGGGCGTGTCGGCGGACTCTCCGCTCGTCAGGTCAACTTTCGCGAGGAGTCCCTTTTCGTGTGCGCGCACGGGCGCATCCATCGCAACGCGCGTGGGCAGCAGAGACTCACAGGAAACACAGCGACTGGGGCATCCCTTCGATTTGCGTCGCAAACGGCGATCAACACCCCAATGGCGGGAGCATCGGCTGCGAGACATTGCGCATGCAACGGAGGCCATGGGCGCAGCATGGAAATCGCGGCGCGGATCATGGGCGCCGCAGATCCCATGTCCGCCCAATAGCCCTCTCCCGCCGCTCACAGCGCGAGCTTACCAAAGAGGGCAAAGCCAGCGCTGCGCAAGGCAGAGCGACTGCCGCAGGCGCCTCGCGGTGCGCAGTCCGCACCTTGGTCCGGGGTGAACGGCGATGGGCCTCCCTACGCCGAAGCGGGTCCCATGCACTAGCTATTAGATCCTGGGTCGTTTGGGCCGCAAAGTTGTCGCGAGTGTGATGGCGCCCTCTGCTGATGATTCATGTAATGCTTGATGTTGACCAGGCACTGCATCTGTACAGGAGGGGAAGGGACTCCGCGGCCCCCCGATAGCCCCATGGAGGTCCCTGGAGGGTGAGAGTCCCAAAATGGTCGCGATTTGCTTATAGTACTGACAGATTTACGTGGCTCAATGCATGAAACCCATCAGCAGGCAACTGTTGGCAGTCGAGCCACACTGATCGGGGCAACAACCAATGAGCAGTTGTGCAGATGTGCATCAGCGCTGCTCCTGGCGCAAGAACAGAAAATCTCGCTCACGTTCACGTGTCGGTTCTCGGACGTTCAGGGAAATATGACGTGTCGCGTGTCGTACTATCCAAGTGCAAACAATTCATGCTTGTGATGAATATGTCAAAGATGTATTTCTTGTCAGAATGACCACCGTGTGCCTTCCTATGAAGTGTTCTGCAAAATTGGCCAAAGACACCAATGGAGTCATTTTTGTCTGGCAAAACGTCTGCCAATGTGCGGCATTTAATCGTGATTGTGGGTCTAATCAGACAGAAATTCTACCAAGGTGATCTTTTACCAAAGTGCAACCATCCAGAGCCGGGCTGGTTCACGCTGAGCGGAGAAAGTCTGCCTCACTGAGAGCGGTGTTCAGACACCTGCGACTTCATCGAATGCACACTGCACCGCATCCAGTGTGCACCATCAGTTCTAGAGCCAGTAAGAGGAGGCGTGCTATCTGGCATATCCAGTTTATCTGTCACACCCTCCCGCGTCTCCCACACCCCTTAAGCCGGCGCTCGACAACAAAAGGCTGTATTCACTACCCAAATGGGGCTATCTTATCAAATGTTCCTGAAATTTCTGCTCCCTTTCCATTGGTTGCCGTGTTCCACGGTACATTGTTGCGATACCCCATCGCAATCCAATTCAAATATTGAAATCACAAGTTGCGTTCCATTGTCGTGCCGTATTTGGGTAGCTGCGAATTTAGTTACTAGTGTTTTCGTTGTGACTTAATCTATTTTCCGGACTAATAAAGAATTTGGGAACATTGTGCTTGTATTCCGAAGCCAGTGGTGAACTAATTCGGAAATTGGCCCGCAAAAGCAGCAATTTGGCCTCGTTTGGAGGCATAACTCGGATGAGGAGTCTTCTTTAAGTGTATCCAACATCATTTTGTGCTCTGGGGACCGCCGAATTACAGACACCAACGACTTCTACAATCCGTGCTGTTCCTCTTCAGCGATCCCCGCAATCCAATGTGGACCAACATCGAAGTCGCGGGGTAAAAATGTTGTTTGTCTACAAATGAGAAAGGCAAGTTGCTGATTTTGGTCATGCATGTTGAGCCATTTTGCTTGTGCATGTCTATGTCTTTCTGAAAGACTTAGGGGAAACACTATGTCGATTTGTTTACGCTTAGCATCAATTTCACGCAAACGGGGGTGGGGGTGGGGACGTGGGTGGGTGTGGTGGTGATGTGGTGTGGTGTGGGTGGGGGTTTGTAGACCTGTGCCGCCAAGAGATTATGTAATTTTCACAAAATCGGCACAAGTTTTAAAAATGCCTTCAAGCGCTGCTGATCAGCAACAAAACGCTGGTAACATGATCCTCAACCTCCCTGGAATGTTCATTCTTCAAGGAAGTCCTTAGACATATCTATATATTGTCAATTTACAGCCATTGCGGCTGCTTGCGTTGCCTATAATGGCTTGTAAGTTCCCATATTTCAGCCCATCGAAATTTGTACAACCCTAATCGTTTTTCCTTCTCAGAAACAGCTGGATATTGTGTTTCATTGTTAGGTTATGTTTGTGGAGTCATCCTGGCATCGACAGAGGGACTGACGCGAAAGAGGGGTGTGATGGTGGTGGGGTGTGGGATAGGTATGGGTGGGTGGGTGGGTGGGTGGGAGTATGAGCTTAACGTCAAATTGACTCTAAGCGTAACGAAATCGACATAGTGTCTTCCTTTAGTCGTCTTGCGGAATTCGGTGGAAAATGGGAAAACAGTTGACTGTTTTGATGCGAACTTGAGCAAACTTCAGTGCGCGACGTCGATGCGGGCAGTTTCCGCCAATTTTCGTTAAAGCGGGAACAATCTATCGCCACATCAGGGGCAGAAAGTAAAGGGATGAAGGGTTTCTCCTTCCGTGATTCCAATGAAAAGGCATGATACAAAATAATGAGGCACTGGGCTGGAGACATCAGTGAACTGCCTGAGCGTAGAACGTGGGTCCGCTTATTGCAGTGCAAACATTCGTCGGCAGCAGACATTGCTGCGACACATGTAGATGTTCGCCATTCAGGCACCTGCGACTGGGCTGCGTACCGAACGATTGACGACACGCCCGTATTGCAGCTCGTGAGGTCTGGGTGCCCAAGATCAGCACTGTTCACCCCGTTTGCAGGCTTTCCATAAGCAGGCAGTTTGCGATGAAGGCGCGAAAGCTTTCCGCAGTTGGGACACAAAATCGGATAGTGGGTATTCAGGAAGCTGACTCATAGCACGTAGCCGAGTGCATGCCGCTCACCTTTCATGGGGGCACTGGGAGATATGCAGTTTCGTTGTGCTCACCCACCGCGCAAGCACTCGCGCCGTTTCATTCCACGGTTATTTAATTTTGACCCTGCAGCTCCAAGTGAAGCAGCAAGGGTTCAATCAGAGCCTTTGCTCATCTCGGTCACTGCGTTTTTTTGCGCTCTTTCTTGTAGCAGCATCTTTGTCGCAATGGCAGGAGCTTTCTACTGCCTCAGTGCCGCCACCATTTCATTGGCAACTGGCCTGAACATTCTCTCTGGAAATTTCAATTTCTTTGAAAGAACGTGATATGGGTGCTGCGTCCTGCATCTGCAGATTTGTTGAACAACTTGGGTTCATCTGGATCGGATTGTTGTCCATACAGCTCCAGCCCTTGCTGCAGTGCATTTGATGCTCCTAAGATGCGAATTTTTTCCGCTGGAGTTGCGATGGCTCGGCCACTTGTACATTTTGGCCTCCTAGCGGGCCACGTGGTGGAAATGACGCTGTACAGGGTGTATTTAATGCTTTGGCCCAATTTCAAGTCAGTTGCCAACAACACTTTTCTCTTGCGCGATCCCAGCAGCAGTTGCCGGTGATCATGGTCCTATCTGCATTGTACAAACAGATCAGGCCAGTGCGCCCTCTTGTCCATGGACTACCATGTGAATGCCAATGCACCTCAGAACACCATGTGCACACACATCGTGACATGTATCAGCATCTGCACTGCAAGCCTATGACAAACCAAGCCATGGCTCAGCAACAATCTAGCACAGTCAACCAGAAGAGATGCTTCACCTGCTAAGTGGTAGCAATTCGTGCGGTTTTGGACAAGATGTTGGGAATACATGGCCCTTGGTTATCATACTACAGATCACATGGCTGCCATTTTCGTATGGTTGCTTCTCCAGAACAATTCAATTGTGTGTACGTGCTCCTTCTCTCTGTAGGAATGAATGCGTGTTGGCTGTGCATGAACGTGCTGCCAACGCTATGCAAGTAACAGCAACAGTAGCAAGTAAGGATGCTTAACTGTAGGATGCATGGTGTCCTGGCGAACGAGTAACCAAGTACCGTATCCATAAATGCTCGCAGCTTCTCGGCATCGATGCCAGCAATATGTTGTGTTAGGGGCAGAAAGGGAGTTTGCTCGTTTTGCCTCAAGTGATATTCTCACTTCCTTGAGGCAGGTACCAACTTGTCATTGCCATCGGCTACATTGAGGTCTGTGGGTGCTTGGATGTCCGAGCCTTCGTGTAGTACTGCATTTGATGCATTTGTGTTGCCATCCCTTCCACACAATCGGAGACCCAGAACTTGACCCACAGTTCTTTTGTCTTCTACACCTTGTTGTTTTTGTGGCGACTGATGAGGGGTGTCTGAGCCTTTGCAATTTGTGTAGCGCACCTGGGAACATTCAAGAGCTTCACACAGCTGCGCTGAGCAGCGAATTGCGGGCTGTCGTCGCAAAAAATGGGTAGTGCGCATGCAATGAATGGTCAGTAAAACTTGGCACAAGATGTAGCAGCACATGCCTGATGTCCTCCAAACAACGCCACTGAACGAATCTGGCTTCTGCCATGCACAACTTGTTCAAGCAGCACCATGTGCTGTCGAAGATTCTGATTGTGTGGCCTCTAAAGAGCTGGGTTCCTCCAGTTTCCATCCCCACCCCACCCCACCCCACCCCACCCCACCCCACCCCACCCCACCCCACCCAGAAAAACTGTACTGACACCATCAGCGAACCGAGTGTTGTCCAGAATCCCTGCGCAACAAAATTTTATTCCAATAATCGCTTCACACCATTTTCCTCTCTGTCCTACTCATTTGCTTGCTTTGCCACATCTCCAGCTGGAATATGCGTTAGGCATTCTGAAGGGAGCTTTTGCTTCCAGTGCAGAGGAACACCTTCATTTAATCTTCTGTTGTTTGGTCGCAGTGTTCCCAGGCCAGCTCTGGCCATTCACCATGTCAGGTGGCGAATGGCCACCTTTTGGATGCCACGATTGTGCCATAATGCTTGAGCTTGGCAAGCATGCTAAACTTTTGCTCAGCCGTTCTAGCTGCTCTGGACACACTGGATGTGCCCACGTCGATTGTGTTGGCAATCTGCAATAACTTCAAATGTACCACTGCTAGTGATCTCCTGATTTCAAAGAAATGTACAGCATTGACAAAGGAAAATACGTGTGTCTCCTTCCTGCTCAAACGTTCAGCACAATTGATGCCAGATGATGTGCCATTCTTGTCTTGCCCGAAGCACCCAAGGACCACAGTCAAGCACTTGGCAATAACATACTTAGCGCAATAGTTGCCCATTCTCTCACTAACGTTGCTGGCCAGGAATGTGGTGACTGCCCGTACATGCCATCAGCACTGAACGCAGAGACATCGCATAGGTGTTGCAAGCAAACACTGTGCTGCTGATGACAGGAGACAATGGAGCTCCTTATTTGGACGTCATGACAATTCATGACTCTCTTAGACAGCAATTCAGTGATTGGCTTTGACCCTGCATTGATTGCTGCACCAGTCATGAGCATTATTTGTCTCGGGGGGGAAATGTGGAGCTTGCGGTTATAATTGCCTGCATGTGTAGCATATCTTGACTGATAATGCACATCTGTGCGTTAGCCAAGGTACTGATGAATCAAATCCATCAAGAAACTATACATATCAAAGCGAGAAGGCTGCCATCAACTCTAATATCAAAGAGGCACCTGTCGGGACGCAGCCGAGTGCTAGCAACAATTCTTGACTGGTAGCATCCATTTTAGTAGCTGGCGAACGTTCCCAAACACTTTTGCACTGCACTTTTGGCAGTTTCCCAGGAGACGTACACAACCTTGCATGGTTATTACATTATTGTAGTGCGCAAACAACAGGGTCTGATATTGGCACTACATAAAACGAAAATTGTACAGAGACAATAACGCTTGCCGTCTGTGCGATGCTACACTCTCACAAATCCTCAATCTATTTCGCCAACATGCCAAGTCAGAAAGCGCATTTCATTCCCTGCCGTGCACGAGTTGGTGAGTGCATTCTCCTCTCGGTCATCTTGCTGAGCCCATTGCATTCTGCTTCGAGCAGTTTCCCGGTTGACTTCCTTGCGCCCATCATTCAATGTTGCACCGCAAGTGGGTGCTGTGGATGCTTTCGTTTCCTTCTGGCCCTCTTCTTCACATCCCCGTCGCTGCAAGCAGGGACAACACCTTCATCAGAATGGCAAGCGCCACGCCAGTGCCAGTACCCACACGCTCACTTCGAGAAACATCCTGGTGCGTCCCTCGATAGGTTTGGCAGCCGCCGCTCAGAATATTGAACTATACGCTACCACCCCTACTTTCGCTTCTTTAAACTCTAAACTACCACATTCGCTTCTTTACACTATGCACTACTTCTTTCGCTCACAAGCGAATTAGCTATTTGCACTATGAGAAGAAGATAGGGCAAATGGGGTGGTTCACGGTGACACTTCAGCCACCGGGGCCACTTATTTCAGGAGGGCGCCCTCATCCCGTACATTTGCAACACGGTCGCTGCGCACCAGCGCAGTACACCCCGCCCCAAATCGCAGCGCCCAGAGACGCCCAGACTTCCAGGGGCCCGCGGCGTACATCAGTGTACCCTTGCGCCAGCCAGGGCCGCGCCCACCAGGTCAGGTCACCATTCCGATCGTTTCGACGTGATGGCGCCAGGGGCCAACAACTGCCGACACGGGCACCGCAGGGAAAGCGCCCGCCGCCGTGCGAGCCGACCGCGATCCAAGCCAGGCGGTCGCCCCGCGGCTAACGCGACGATGCCAATAAGCACAATGACGCGGACCGACTTCCGGACATCGCGCGAACACTCGGAGCAAACCCTGCCGCATGGCCATGGGTTTTTTTGGGGCGGGGCACACATCAGCGCCTTGGGCGTGGGCTGGCGGTGGCGCGACGCGCACTCGGGCGGTCCCACCTGGACAGCGTTGGCAGGTGCTGCAGGACTTCATACAGATCCACCTCGTTGAACCCGCCGACGTGCGCATCGCGGAGCCCCTCCAGCATCTTCTGGACATCGCCCTGCGCAAGGCGACCGCAATCAAGCTAGCGGCGGCGGCGGTCCGGCGGCGCACAGCATCGCGTCTGCGCGGCGCAATGCGGCCAATGGCCCGGGCGAAAGGCCGCATGGGAGTCGTGCGAGCAGTTTGCGTCCCTCACCACAATCTCCTCGGGAGTCGCCTCAACGTGGAATATGTCCCTGAACTTGATTTCACGTTTGGGTCTGGACGCCATCGCCGCTCGTCGGCCCTCGGCAAACTCGGGGGACCCCGCCCGATTGGTGCCGCACTTTCGCGGCCGCCCTGCCAATGAGTTGCTATTGTTAGTGGCGACCGCCGGCCAAGAACTTCCGGGCTCTCTCGTCAGCTCCCATTCGGCTCTGATGAGTCATCACCATCTGGCAGGGCCCCAGCCACTGGCTCTGTGATGTTCCCAGACGCCCAGCCAGAGATGCGCTCAACCAGAAGGGCTCAACGGCGTCCGCGCTGCAGAGGGACGACTTTCGAGTCTGGTCGTCGCGACAACGCAGGGCAGTTATCATCCAGGCACAGCCCACGGCTGGCCCGCTCGCGCGCGTCCACGCCGGACGCCGAATTCTTGTGCCGATTCATTCGGTGTCTGGTGTACGAGGGAGGGGCATTGCCCTCCAAAAGCTGCCATTAGGCAAAACATAATGCTCGGCTGTCGGCAGGCTTTCGCCGTGTCTGGACAGTTGCCTGCGCGTCCCTGTCGCTGTGATTGTCCCAATAGGTCCTTCTGGACCTTTGCTTCTGTTTTGTGGGAGCGCAGCGTCAGAGTATCGGGGTACTGTGCCATCGTCAGGCGAAGGAACGGTCATCGGGAATTTCGAGAGGTCGCCAAGGGTCTGATGAACTCCAACGGGCTTGCGGTCTCGCGCCGGTCGGGGCGCAGGCAAGACAGATGGGCACATTTCTGGTGCGGCTGCAAGGTCGCGCACAGCCGCTGCTGGCGTTGTGCCCGTTGGCCTCCCCACATTGTTGGGTGGTGACTAACTGTCAGATGTGTAAGGGGGCCTGTATGCTGATGTCTGGGCCTCCAGGCCCACCAACCGTGGCGCCGAAGGCTTCTCCACCAACACGGACTCTAAAACAACCCGGACAAAGGCTTTGCTTGGCAAGGCCCCGCCAGTTGTTTATGCGGGGCGTCGGAGACGACAGCCGCAGAATTGTTGACGACGCGAACTCAACCTCGATAGCCACCGACGCGGGCTTGCATACCCACTGGTGTCTGATGGGGGTGTCGGCTAACGAGATGGACACAGCCCGAGAACCGCTGCGGCGGAGCGGAGGTGAGGAAGGCGTTCAGGGGATGCTGTCGGATTGACGGGTCCAGGGGAAGAAGAGCAGGCACTGTCTTCGGCGCTACTGTTCTGTACCAGCGTCCGGGGCCGTTAGGTCCCGCAGGCAGCCGCTTTCGCGCGTCTGGTTGTACTCTGCCAGAGTGGCGTGAAACTACAACGCGGCAGCTTCACCGTCAAGGCGTGTCACTGTGGATGGAGTTGGCACACCGAAAGTTCTGCAGGATAGCCTCCTTTCCATTCGCTCCCGTCCAGAGACCTGGCTGCACAAGTCTCTGAACGATGCAGTTTCCAATCGAATACAGTGTCGCTAGGATTGCAAGTGCTAGGACACGCCACGGAATCGTGCAGTGCTGCAGGGCTCTGTATTGCGGCAAGAGACACGAATTCAAGAGAGAGGCAGACAGTCGCTCCAAAAGTCATTAAAGAAATCGAAGCCAATCACTGCAGGCAAAGAGCAATGACGTTTGCATCCATGCCACTCTGCTTGGGAAAAGGTTTGTTGTTCATGTCGGCCGCCCCATCACTGGAGTCAATGGGCTGCGTCCCACGCCGAAGCATCGTAGAAGGATGCAGCCTTAGGGCTCTTGGCTCCAGGTTCGCTCACTTGGACCCCTGTAGTTGGTCTCTGAACAGAGGCCAGCGCCCTCATGTGTGTACCGCAGCTCTCCACCAGCACATCCCTTACAGCCCTGCGATGCCGCTTCGCTGACTGCGTTGCATTCATCTCCTGAATGCAGCAATCAAAAGCCTGCAAAAGGAGGGGAGAGGGAAGGGGTCGGGCTTCAGCAAGCAGTTGCTGATAAGATGCTTGCAAAACACACGCAGAGTTCAGGCTGGGACGAAGGGGCAGAGGTCCCTTGCAGACAGTACGCCACGGCTGTTTCCCAGAGCAGAGGATCTCATTATCACTGTGGCCTCACCTGTGTTGTCATGTTTGGGAGTGTCAGCAGCACCTGCTTCACAGTTGGCGACGTTGCCACATGTTTGTGCACAATAGATGCTATTATGTCCAGCACAAACGTGTGGAAGATTTCTGCACGTTCAAAGGTCAGCAGCTGCAGCGCTGCCTTCAACAATGCATCTGTCACCATGGGCTTCAAGTCTGGGACATTTGTAGACACCGCAACGAGGTAACTGGTAGGTTAAGCACAACAAATGCTGTCAGCTGCACACAACGCAGGGACCAGTGGATCGATACGGCAAGCAGTGAATGTGGCTGGCAGCTGCCTGCCCAATGGTGATGCAGGGTGACAGGACGCCATGGCAGGCTGTAGCAGGATCTGTCTTTATGGCGCACAGGCATTTGAGCCATGACAACAGCAAAGCGATGCTGAGAAAGTCGAAAACAGTGGAAGGCAAGACAGCACCACACGTTGACAACAAACAGTTGGACAGCAACATGGGATCCGGCCTGTTGACAATGAATCCATCCATGGTCCTCTTTCAGCAAGACGAACCTGCAAAAATTGAGAGAGGATTGAATGGCCTTGGTATCCGGCCACTGCAGCGACTCCAGCGCTGACACAGCAGCGGTTTCACAGACCTTCCTGTTGGATTGCCACAGGGCCTCAAAGACTGTGGACTCCTGTGTGGGAGCAGCTAGAGCATCAAGCATCTTGCATTGCTCTTGGGCCAGTTCTCGCAACAACCCTTCATAAACAACCTGGCAGAAGGCACAGATGGGGTCAGGGGGACTGCGTGCACAGGCATCGTCCAATTGCAGGGCAGTCCTCACACCAAACCCATGCACCGCGAAAGTGTGGCACTGGATGAGCTGGATTTCAGGCAAGCCATCCTTCTTCGCCCTGGTGCAAGTGTGCACACCTCTTCCAGATCGCCAGTCTCATTCTGCCCCCATCTTGGGCCATTTGATGACAGCCTCTCCCAGCCTTGCTTCACTGTTGCCAGACTGGTGTGCAGCACCGCTTGCAGCAGTGGGGCAAGCCAGATGTTGCATGCCTGCAGCGGGCACGACTTCAGCCAGGGCAGCATCACTTGGTGCAGGAACAGGCGTTGACCCTTCAAATCAAGGTGCACCACACCCGTCGACAATAGCTGGGGGAGCTGCTGGACCAATGGCTGGCAGGACCAGAAGTCAGGGCAAGATGCAGGGGAAGTGGCAAGGACAATGTTGCCGCGATCGCTGATTTGGACCAGCCATTTCCGCAAGGACACCAGCGATGTACCTGCCACAGAAACCACAAGCCGCAAGGATGAAAATACAAGGGATCGATGCAGGCAGGCCCCCTGCTCTAAGATTTCAGACTGGGTCTTTGCAGGGTCACAGACAAGGAGCTGAGCACTCACCTCAAGCCATACTTTGTGGTGGGCGTCATCTGGAAATTGGAGCCACAGTTTGTGCTACACATGAGCTGGCCATGTTGATAGGTATTGGGGCGACAGTTGAGTACTGTGGGGAGCAACATTCCACCATTTCCCAAACATCTTGTAATGACACAAGTTGACACTTTCAGATCGCACAGGGCGATGTTATGTCTTCTTGCCAACGGTGGCCTCGCCCTCAAAACTCTGCAATGCATGCATTTCAGACCGAAGCTGCTGGCCACTGTGCATCGGATTCCTTTTTCTTTTTTGAATTCCACTGTATTACACGTTGATCCAAGCAAGGATGCATTGGACGGACATGTCTGTGGTGTGCACACCTGCAATGCCCATTCCATCATCATCTCCTGCCTCCTGTGACCGAACGCCGCTGGATTTCAAGTATGGCTTCTTCTCATCAGCGGCCAAGTCAAGTGCATTAGACAATGGACCAAGGCTGCCCCGCATGCTTGGATCCCACAGACGGAATACACATGTCAACAAACGGCCAACAACCAACACCAGTTGAAGAAAAGTGGTCAGTGGGTGGCCTTCCCCTAAGTTGCCAGCGGGTCTATCTGCTTCAGCATATATCTTTTGCACCAGGTACACGTCATGGAAGAGCTCCCATCGCTGTTCCCTGTTCCCGATCATCAGTTCTCCACCAGAAACTTGGAAAGGCATGTATTCAGCAACAAAAGCTCTCGGTGACTCCAGATGTGCAAGCCAGGATGGTGCTGTCCATTTAGCAGCTATTGGATTCAACATCCAAGACAATATTTGGTCCTGCACAGATCGGTCGGCAGCCTTGCTCACTGCCAGCACACCTGCAGCACACAATTCGCGTCAGTGCTGCACAGTTCATGAGATATCAAGATAACGTCAGCGCAAACACCACTCAAAGCGTTTCATCACTCAAATCGCTCAAACAGAATTGGAGTGCACCACCAACGTACCCTCCATGAACACAGCGATCTCCCCATCCCCCAAATCTCCATTCTGCTTCAATGTCTCCATCCGAAACGTCAGATTCTGCAGATGCTTCAGGAATGCTTTGGGTGCTGAATGTGCCACCTTGGACAGCATGTGGCACAGCTGCAGGCGTGCTTTTGCATTTGCTTGAGATACACTGCCAGAGGGACAGGCGGCCTGAAGAGGAGGGGGCCCTCGCCCTTCGCATGGAAACTTTAAAACATTGTCGTGCACAAACCCCACCAACATCTCTGCAAGTGTCTCGTCCTTGTGTAGAACAGCCTTCCCTGCCTCAACAGCCCGCACGAACTGAAGCATGGAACAGGCGTGGATTAGCAACAGCCCATGTGGTGCTACAGCTGGATTCCTTTCTTGAGACCAGGGATAGGTACCCCAAGCCTACAAATGTACACTGTGCTCCTGACAAAGCTGGAACTGTATTTTTCAATGGTATTTCCTTTGCATTCAAACAGCCTGGAACTCACAAAAAGATCGAAAGCACTCCTGCCAAGTGACTAAGGGCCTTTGATACTTGTAGTTGCATGAAGCACAGTTGGGATCAGCAGGTCAGTGTGAATTCCAAGGTTGCTTTCATGGGATGCTGTGTTGGCAGCACCTGAGAAATTGCAATCAATATATGGCAAATGCCCTGTGCTACCATGCCTACTCAAAGTGGTAAAGCACTCAACAGCCACCATGAATCCTTCCAGGCAGAGAAGCATAGGATTTGTGCCAGTGGTGCCATGCCATCGCGTGACTCTATTTGTGCCATTGTTGTCTCGGTATGCGCATGCAGTTTCTTACTTGTGGAACAATATCATGTCGGAGTTCTATTTTCAACAGTCCCTTGATGACATCGCTCAAGTGGCGAGCAGCAACTTCACTCCGGGGCCCCTCCAGACCCTGCGCAACTACACCACCACCCAAAACGACACTGTGTCCTTGAGCCGTCCCGCAGCAAATTGCTGCAACAGGGAGCTATTGTAGTGAGAAGCACTCTCAAGTGAATGGCAGGCACATTCCTTTGACAGTGCCATTTTCTGTTCAATAAGCATACCACCACAGTTGTGCTCAACGCAGTTAAGATGTTTCAAAACAGATGCCCGATCTTCTAATGCATATGGTGCTGCATGTTTGTAGTGCCCAATCATGACCACTGCTGCATTGGGGGTTTCACATATGATTCTGACCATACCTGGTATCTATGACAAACACTCAGCTCACTACATGGCAATGGCCCCATATGGCACAACTGTTAAAGTATAGTGATTGAAATGACGTGTCTTGGTGGAAAACCTTTGAGTTCTGTATGGACGGAAGGTGGATTTGGACCAGCAGTGCAACAGCTTCAGCTTGGCACCTACAGGGCTTGCTGCTGCTGACTGCAAGAGCTCAAAAGGATGTATGGTGGGGAACTGTGGTCAAGGGAGACCAAATAAACACCTGTTGGATGTGGCTGTGCCTCATTTTGGCTTTCATGTACACAGGCCTTGCTTATCATGTGACCATGAAATAAGAATACGCCATGCCATTGCTGAGTCCAGGCATCACAGAATCCTGAGATTGTTCAGCTTTGAAGAGTCTTGGACTCTGGCTGCCCGCCCGAGTGGAACAATTTGCTGAAGGGAGCCAAATACCAAGATTTCGTGCAAATTCTTGGGTGTATGCCTGCGTTTAACATGAAATCCTGATGCTCTCAGATTCATGCCAGTCACAATGTGTCATAAAGAATTAAATGCTTTAAGATGCTTTTGGCCAAAAACCACACGAAAGAGGGATGGCTCTGTCTAATGCACTCAATACTGGACGTTGGCATAAGCATATGTCCTGCAGAGCTGATGTGGAATGTACCACAGATGCCTCACAGCAACACTGCCTCTCTCTTCCTTGCCTCTCCCAGGTGAATGTCACAGTGGAGAATAGGATTCCTTCTGCTCCCTTCACATGCGCATTTATAAGTTCTGTGTTCCGTTTTCTGGGGGAACTACCTTTCATTCTGATAAGGGTTGTGTACCAGTGTTACATGAGCACTGCATCAGTCCTAGTTTCGGCCTGAGAAAGACGTGCTTCAAGCCTTATACATCCAAAATCCCAAGGAAACAAGCTTGTAGGGAAATTCCTGTGACATGGCTGATCCTTAAATGGGTCGGCGTTAAGGCATTCTCAACGGCAATTGAGCCCAGCAACAGACAACTCTTGTACCAGCCCCCAAGGCCACCCAGCCTGTGTTCCTGGCACCCGTCCATGCACACTGCCAGAGAGAAACCGGGCAGCACTGGTTCAGCAAAGGCAGCCCTCAACAATGATATGAGAGTGTACGACCCGCAACAATGCTCCACACAGCAGGGTGTTTGCACTGACAGACAACAAAAATTCGCACACTATCCAGCCAAAACTCAAAGAAGGGCTTGTGACATACCAGCCTCCAGGACAGTTCCCAGCAAAGTCAGCTTGTGCTGCTGTTCGCCGAGTGCGGGCAAGGTTGGTTCAAAAGTTTGTCTCACTTCCTGGTGCAACTGCCCGACCTCCTCCATGCAGCACTCTGGGAACAGCCAGCAAGCAAGCCTGAGGCAATTCTGGAGCTGCCCGGCCACCCTTGACTTGAAATCGTTTTGTTCTTGGGCAGTGTCGAAAAGCCCTGAAGTGCAGTCGTCTCCTGACAACTGACTCATGAATTGAATTATGAACTTGGCCAGTGGCTGCATGGGCATCGCACAAATGCAAAAAGAATCAAATTATTGCCACAGGTTCGCCCGCAATCGTATGCCCCAACATAACCCAACATGCCCAACTTGTTGTTGTTCCCATGGTGTCCAAGGCTGGCACTGCTGCAATCGGTTGATGTGCTGCATGTATGGTGCTTGCCAAGGCTGGAAATGGAACACTGTGGTTTGAGAAACAGACAGCAACATGACACGTCACAGGACAAGGGAGCATCCTGCTGTCTCCATGGTGCTGCAGTGCTGCTAACAATGCAGCTGGAATTTAAGCTGTCTTTTGTGGCTGTGACATACTGTGAACCCTTGCTACTGTATGTGGACCAAGGGGGGCATGATGGAGAAACACGATGGGGTGCCGTGGCAGGGACCTTACCTTTGAGCATTCCTCCAACAATGGCAGCCCAAGCGCTGAGGTCTTTTCAGGGATCTTATTCGCCTGTTGAGCGCTGTTGAGGTGGTGGTACCAAAAGGACAACGGCAAGGCACGCACCTTCACATGTTGAATGCTGCAGCAGGCTACAATCTGTGCAAAAGCGATGCGTACAATGAGAGCAAGAACATCCACAACAGATGCAGCCATGCAAAGAGCACAAGAACAAAGACTCACAGGGGACCAGCACTTCGGCTTGTGAACTGCAAAACGCACTGTCATGTGGGTGAAAGAGCAGTGAAATCTCAAGCCTTCATGCATGCATTCGATTGATGATTCAAGCAGCCATACTAAATTGTAATATGCTGTCCGCATGGCAGGTGAAAAAACAGCAGCTGAATCCTGACAAGACAAGTAGTCAACAATACAACAAGGCACATCAATTTCTGTCACTGCATTTCCATTTTCAGGAAGAATCGGTACCTTGTACTTGCACACACTTAGAAGAACTGCGACATTACCTGCTGAACCAATGCTCGCTGTTCTTGCGCATTGCTCAAGTGCTGAGCATGGCGTTCACCAAATGTAGACAATGCTCCGACAAATTTTTCTGCTGCTTCACAGCTTTCCTCGTCCATCACTTGCAAGTTTTGCTGTAAGAATTGACCCACTGCAGATGCAAGTGCACTCCCAGCTGCCACAATAATTTGCAAATCTTCATCGCTGTGGCACTCCCTACAAATTATCTGAGAAGCACCAATGTGAAACAAAAAGACGATAAGGATTGTGCCAAATAGGCAAGGTGACCCAGGACCACTCTGATGTCTCACGGCACCATTTATGCCACACTCTTTCAGTCACTGGCATGCACATTTCCTCGTCAAAGGCCACATCATTTGGTGGGAATGCTTTGTGCGGTGTGTTCCACTTGGTTATCTGTGGCCATGGTGTAAGATCTAAGGGTTAGGTGGTGAGATTTTCTTCCAACATTTTCTTCGATGACCATCCGTATTCAGCACAAAAAAGTTGTGCAAGTCAAATGCGAAATTTCTGTGCACAAGCACATGAGGACATGACTGATGACAGTCAAGGCCTGTAGGTGCAAGGGTACGGCTGTGTGTGATGCTTGTGGCAAATGCAATGCCTGTGCGTGCAAGATACAAGTCTTGCACAGAAACAAGGGTGGGGCAGGAACTCCATGTGTGTCTCCAGGAAGTACTCATTCTCCATGTCTATCTCAGAGAGTATTGGTCTCTCAGGTGTGGAGAGCATAGTACCCTTGGGGAAGCTAAGAGAAAACGAGCAGCATCTGGGCCAGAACATACTTTGTCCAAAATCTCAAGAATTGATGCACAGAGCTCCTGTGTCATGACCAAAGCGCGGCACATGTCGATCACCCCAGCCTGTTGAATCCTGGGCAAGGGTGCCCATGAAACCCAAGAAGACACTGTCATCAGTGCAGTTTTGATTCCCTTTGTTTCCTTCAGAGCAACTTCCTGGTTGCCTTGTGAAGCTGCGCTCGAAGCGGCAGAGCAATGCTGGCTGATGATCTGTTCACACAGTACCCCAAAAATGGTCAGCACAAAAATGGCCCTAGAGCAGAACACTTGAGCAATCAGATGCTCTTCTGCCACATTATGTATTCATCTGACCAACTCAATCCTCTTGTTTGTGCTAATCCCCCTACCTTGTCGCTACATTCTGCTAATTGCTTGTTTGCCACTGCTTGTTGTCAATTTAGCAGATGTTAGATTGCCATCCCTGAGCTAGGGTTGCTATGACTTTGTGGTACCTGGTTCCAAGCAAATTATAACCTCATACAGCACACACACAAGCAGTACATCAATTGACTCACAAACAGATTTCATATTCTCACATGGACTGTAAGGAATTTCAAGCCCCAGAAGACTGCAGTTCATCCATTGTCATGATTCTGCAAGACTGGATGACGAGTTCAACTTTGCCCTTGCTGCAAGTCAAGTGTTCAATGCTGAAGTTTGCTCCTCCAAGAGCGACCATGCAATCTCCACAAGTAGGGAGCAAAGCTGAGGAAGAGGGTGCAGTTATCATAAGCTTATGAACTGCACCAGAAGTGTTTGTCAAATACAGAATTGCCCACCGGCCATAGCTTTTAGCAGGTCAAACTAAAACGACCACAGAGCAGTTGTTCCAGGGTATTGGTTCTGCAACTACACATCAACAGGGTCCTTGCAGTGCAGCAAACAATGTGGTCGAAGTGGGAACATTTCGATGATTACCTTCATGAGAAATTGCAGTGTAACTGCAGCTGCAGCAGTAAGCATCGACAAAGCTGCCCTTCGTTGTGGCTCTGGAGCACAGAGAACAAACCCAACAGTCCTTTAACTGTTTACTGCCCATGTGCCAATCTTCCACAATGCAGCCTCTAGATTGACAAAAGGCGCCCAACAGTAGCTGGACAACTTCTGGAGCGGTGCACAGTCTTGGCTGTCAACAGTCCAGGTTGAGGTGGCAGCTGATCTACATTCTGGGCACATCTCCCTGTTCGTGGGAATCACCTGGCAACTCGTGGCCAAACTGCGTAACACCTTCACTCATGTAGTATTGCACAACGCAGGCCAGCTCACCCTGTACAATTTGCACATAGAAGTAAGTCAACACTCCCACTGTGCTTGACAGGGAGGCCCAGTAAGGTGCCAAATGGTGAGCTGCGAAGGGAATTGAGATGGGCCCAAGTGGCATCTGTGCATACGGTTATAAAACACATTGTCAAGTTACCCAGACACTCCCTCCTTGCTTTGGTAGGAATGTAGAGTCGAGCATGCGTGTGCCTTTCACTCTGTCCATGGTACTGGGCGATGGGATGGCCATTTCCAGCAACATTCTCTTTCTTTCAGTCCCAAACCAGGTGGCTTGGTGAATGAATGCCTTACAGAATGCAATGCTCACAGCATAGACAGAGGAATCCTATGAGTTGGGTCAGGCATATCTAGCAAAGACACTGCTGTCCCAGCAGTACACATTTTGATGCCAATGACCAACAAAAAAAGCTGCAACGCCTTGGCAGAGGGTCGTCGTGAAACATGCATGCAAAAGATTTGCTGAGCTGAGACAGATGTTTGTGCAATGAAAGAAAGAGTCTTCAGGGTTGCAATCCCAGGGTGAGCTATGCAAGCCAAACAAAATCGCCACAACCAGCAACATTGACAAGGGAAGGCACGACTGAATGCTGCACTTGCAATGATTGATGGTGATCACACTGGAACAGTGCAAATGCCCAAATCACACAGTAGACCAGAGCAAATCCAGAAGATCACCCCTGATCACACTGTAGACAATGTGCACATCCTCACCTGGGGATTGTCCTGCCCACCACCACCAACAAATAGACTGCTGGCTGCCTCGAAAGATTTCTGGTCAGACCTGATCAACACGCCAGCCAGAAGCTGTGCTGCTGTATTTCTGACACCTTGATTGTTTGTGGACTGAAAAGCTGCACAGCAAAAACCACAAACCTGCTTAGAAGGTAACTATCTTGTCTATGCCAGAAGCCCAACATGCTGCCCTTACTTCTTTGGATGCGCAAGTGCAGTGTACTACTGGAACGGGAGTGCAGTTTGAGTGTTTGTGCAATTACACAACAGGTGTTTTATGCACAGCATGCTCCCCTATGTTTGCTGTTCCAAAAAGACCACAGTCAGAAGAAGAAGATTTCCTGCACGTGGTGTTATGACTAAACTGCGCATGTCACCGTCTGCATTACAACCACAATGCATAACCCAACAGAATGTATCACTGCCACGCCAAGACCACAGTCAGGTGCAGGTGGTGGTGTTGCCTGTGTGAGAAGTTGTGCATGGTAACTGCTTACTTATGTGACGCCAAACAAAATGTGGATTTCAGTCCTATTCTTCAGGTAGTCCACCATATTGGAAACAGAGCAGGGTACTACAACTTGCTGTCAATATTGGCACCACTTTGTTGCTGCGTTGGAAGACAGTGTAAGGCCACTGCATGACCTCAGTTTCTTGAAGCTGAGCAGCGTTCACCTTGCATCGCCTTCTCCAATGAGAACATTGCGATATCCTTTTGCTGTTGGCCTGTCAGCTGGGTCCAGCGTTTCGATACCAGCCCATGCAGCCACGAGTACCCAAACAATTGAACATCCTCTTGCTGATGTGGCCCGCAAAGCACATTTGCGACTGACAAACACAGTGGTGGTTCAGCCAGTGTCACCTGAACACCTCACAACAGGCTTCAACAATAGAATGGTCAGAAATCGACCTTTCCCAAGCTCAGTCCCTTGATGCACAGTTCACTCTGAAATGTCCAGTGTCTGCCACGATGCCACGTTCCACTGTCGAAGGGACTTGTAGCCTTTCGGGAGACAATTCCATTGCGGCTGGAGACAGATATGGATCGATTGTGGCACCTGTGCGAAACATTGTTATCATCCATTTTGCTTCATGATTTGCACCTTGCCAGCATGACAGTTTGGAGACGAATTCAGGGACGGGTACGCATGCTTCTGGCACGACTGCTTGTTGCCGCACCTGCGCCAACAAGTTGTTCGCTTCATGTTTCTGTTGCTGTGTCGAGTGGGGCCGTCCAAGCACGGAGATGGCTTGCAAAACGCGTTGGGCGCAATCCGTGGCGTCGGCCATGGGTTGCTGCCTCGCAGCAGAGCCCCAGCAGTGCCACCGTACAGAGAAAAGTGGTCTGCTCGCGACAAGCCTTTCTCCAGGTGAAGGGGGCGGGGAGACGCCAGAAGGAGAGCAGTCGACTGCAGGATTGCCGAGAAACACGGAAATGTTGGCGGCCAATGGGATTTTGAAGAAAGACTGAGCCCATAGTTTTAGGGGTCCATAGATAGAGGCTAACGGATGTGCTCGTAGGTACAACGCGCAATGCCGGCACGGGATTCAGCATAAAGTGCGTTCCAGACAGCAGCGATTCTTCCAGACAAAGTTCTCTGGGCTGGGACGTAGCGTCAGGCGAGGGGCACATTAAAACACTGGATTTGTGGGTTCTCTTCAGAACGCGACCTGGTTGGCATGTAACCGTTACATAGCAAAGTGTCCATTCTTCTACCAGAAATGTGGGCACCGATCCCTCAGTGAGATCCCTGCTGACCGGCCCCAACTCATTTCAACTGTGTCGTGCCCCCTCCACGCTCCTTTGTTATGTGGGTTTCCACAACACAGCCAGCTGCGGTGTGCGCCATCTGTCCAGATTGACATACTCCCGCCGAAGGACCTTAACGAACCTGCAAGCCGTCGTCCTCTTCTTTTGTTTTGTTCTGGTTGATGCAGCGTTGGTTAGTTTTTGCATCAGTCAACAACTGCGGATGTCACGGTTGATGACAATCATATGCGGTACAACTACCATAGTTGTGGTGCTGCAGCTGGAAGCGCAAAAGCTACAAACTTTGCAGCATACTGAGCAATTCAACACCCCGATGATTTGGAGCATTGAACTGTGACAAGGGAAAGCCACAGCACTGCAGCACGTATCCACGTGGGGCCTTTCATCATCATCAAGAAATCCTGCATGTGGTATCCATGCGTATACATGTCTGTGTTTTTCGCTGCCTTCAGGTTGAACATGACGCCGAGAGCAGGGCGCGTCCATCACGCAACTTCAATGAAGGAACACACATAGAGGATGGGATGCTGACCTGTGGAACGCACGTGTCATTGTTGTGCTGGAGGGGGCCGCAGGAAAAAATAGACTTCTTTGATGAAAAAGAGCTCGTCACCGGGGTTGGGAGGATGCTGCGCGGAACGCTTCTCATTGTCTGGTCAGTCTTCCATGCTACACACTTGAAATCAACGTTGAGCACAGCTCAAATGATCTCCGAATTCAGTGGCCTTCATTGCAGTGCGGGCAGGTCTTGCTGTGTTACTGACATCATTGCTCGCATGCGAGAGGGAATTGCTGGATAGAGGCGCCTCTAAGGAACTCTGCATTGGAGAAAAAGGGAAGCCCTTGCTTCTGTGCGCAGCTTGCTGATTCCCAATTAGTCTAATAAACCATTTTTGGCACAATGATTCCATGACACTGTGGAATTTCACAGGGCGTACTCTCGTCCTGACGCTAACCTATCAAATCATTTTGATGACCTGCATTCTCCTGCGCTGGCAAGAACCCCTGTGGTTTCGCAATTCTCGCTGACAGCGTCAGTGTTCGCTGTGAGGCTGGAACATTTCAATGTCCCTCATAGACCCTGTGATCGTGAAGTATGCTAAGTGTCATGAGCCACATCAACGCTCATGCGAACATTGTTAGATGCAACAAGGAGCCTAACCGATGTTTGGACACCACAATTTCGTTCCATATCATTGAGCGGGCGATTTCACCATGCTTGTAACAAAAACGCGGCTGGTCTGCTCCTTGAGAGAGGCTCAACTGCCAAGTTGGTGCCATGCAAACCAAGCATTGCAGGCGATGATAACCAGAATGGTGAGCACCTCTTGCCACAACCTGTGCCATGGAGGGCGTTAATGGTCAGATTCAGAACCTCGGGCTTTGTCATAAACGCTCAACCTGCTGTTCGATGGTGTCGTTTGCTTAGGAAACACGAAAGAAACAACTCGAGCTGACAATGGCACTTGGAAGGGCCCGTGTCTGCCCAGCAGAATCCTCTGTTGTGGATGGTTTCTCTGCTGCAGCGACTTGGCACAAGCTGCGCACATGTGCATATGTTCTAAACCTGAATTTGCCAACTCAATGCATGTGCTGTGCATGGCTCAAAAACTGACTTTGTTGCCAGGGCCTTGACAACCTCCACATTATGCAACATCACCTAAACACTCCGTTTCAGACTCGATGCGATCCTCACAGTGGACTGAACAGCCATTCTTCTTCCTTGCCACCACATTGCCTACTGTATTATATGACACCCTTCCGCTTTGCAACTTTGCGTTTGTCCTGTCGATGGAGAGCAACAACAAAACAACTTAACTTTGGAAGAAACTGTGGAGCAGCCCCAGCCGCGATGCGAGGCTCTCTAGATTGCGGCACATCTAGAGGCTCTCTAGATGTGGCATCTAGTGGCCCCAGATGAATGCATTGCTGTGGCGGAAAACTGGCATTGAGGCCATGTGATATGACCAAAGTTGCAATTCCAGCTGTTGCCATAATGCAGAGCCCCCAAAATAACGGCCAACCTAAAAAATGCGGGGCAACAATGATAACATTGCAATTTCAAGATGCGGATTTGTTGGGACATACTACAGTACATGCGCTGCTATGCCTGGTATGCACATACAGTGGTTGTATTGTATTCGACAATAGCATGGTCACTGTATTGATGGGACCCCTAGTGCCTCCACAACGGCAGGAGTCATACAGTCTTGTGTGATTGTAGGCTAGAATGTGCGCCAATACTCTAACCTGCCATCACATTAATAAGGATAGAGACCGCACGAGTACAGAGCCAGTTGTCACACCACACTAGGGTTGGCAGTGCCGGCTTTCACATCCCCTAATCAGGGGCTGATGCGCAAATGTGACCACAAGGGACACGATCGCACGATGTTGTGCGATTGCAATTCCATTTTATTAAACCCTTTTGCATACCAACGTAACGCTTGGCCTTTTTATGTGGATCCGCATTAAAAAGTTAAACAACGTTCTGAAAAAAACTGCAAAGCAAAAAGCGTAAAAGTATAATTCATAGGAAAATGACAAAAGAAGGTCCTCTGTGAGATATCTTGATAAAAAGGGGATTCTGACTGCCACTTGTACATTAGATGCGTTGCCAGACCGGCGGCGATCGGCAAGCTGGTCCTACTAGGGGCGACCTCTGCAAATGACCCCCTTTTATCAGATGCACCCCTCCAAAGGACGCCCTGCTGTCAATGCTTCTTTTGGGGTGTTGCAGGCGTTTGTGGGGTTTTCGCAATGCCATCGAAATGAACCCTCCTGCCATTGGTGCATCAATTAAATGCAAATTGTCTCCATAAAAATATATGAATCATTATGAGCAATGACATGATTGTGTTGCCACTTCAAAAGTCATTAAGAATGACTTTTGGTGCAAAATCTAAAGAGATGGCATGTAAGCCTAAAGATTTCATTTTTTCAAAATCGGTAGCTTCTCATGAAGTTTAGTTCACTCTGGGCATTTCAAAAACATGCATGGTCACCTGCGTGGCATAATGGAATAAGTGTTGCATGAGTTTCTGAGCATGTATTCAAGAGACAAAATTGACTTGCATTGGATCTGTATGCATGCAGCAAAATAGCTGCATGTTATTTTGAGATCCCAACACAATGCTTTGTGTCTTTTTGGTGAGTCTTGTGCCATAAGTGATGATTGAGACACACTGCTCGTTCAGCACTTGGGTCAGGGGGTCATAGAATTGTTTGATAATGATTGCAATTTGTGGTTGTTGGGTTGTGTTCGATGGGGAAGGTCGTTGATGACTATTGTAATGCAGTGAGCTGCATGCAACGTATTTTTCTGTTGGCAAGATCGGGCTCGGTGGGGGCTAAAAAGTCCCAAAATGGCAGCTTGGCAATTGTTTGGATTGTGGTTTTTCACAACTCAGTTTTGAAAACCGTCAGTATGGCATGTTTTATAAGCTCAAGGTTCATTTCCCCAACTGGCTGTTGCCAATGACTTCACTTTACAAAAGACCCCTTACAAAATAAAAGTGCTACAACTGTCCAACATCTGCCAAATTTTGTTATAGATTTCAGCCTTCAGAAAGCCCACAGACAAACAAATCGCTGCGCGCTCTCCCCGGCAGCTCGGATCGCCTCGACTCCCCTTCATTGCCCTAGTAGGACCGTGGTACGGTCCGGCGCCACTCCGGTGCTGGTAGGGCGCCGGTCTGGCGCCGGTCTGGCAACGCATCTAGTGTACAGGTGGCGGTCAGAGGACCCCCTTTTGTTTTTTTGTCCCAAAATTTTTTGATGCAGAAGAGTTTAACAAAATACGGTACGTATCCTGAAATACCCGATACGGCCACAAACCTACGGTTCCCCCCGTCAAAACGCTGCGGCGACCTTACCGGCCGCCGCAGGAGCGTGGCACGCCCCCCCCGCTGACGCGTCACACTCGCCAGGCTCCGGAACGCCACGCCGGGCGCCCCAGCGGTCCTAACGACCCGCCCGCCCAGGCGTGGTGACGCGCGGCGGCTGCCTGGCCCGGCCGCATCGTCGACAAAATGCAATCCGAAGAAAGGGCCGCCCAGGAGGAGTACTGGAAGCAGCACTCAGACGGCGCCACGGTGGAGGACATGATGCTGGATAGCCAGGCGCGGGAAATCGACAGGCTGGATCGCCCGGAGGTGAGCTGCCCGCGAGGTTCCGATACGCCCTCATGCAGTTGCGGCCGCCGCCACAAAGTGGCGGCTCAGTGTGCGTGCACCTGCACCGTCGCCAACCTGTGTTCATGGTCCTCAACTAAGGGCCTTCAAAGAAGAACGAACCCCTGTTGTCCACCCCGAATCTGATACGACCCCGCGCGGCGTTCCATCGTGTTGCGCCGCAGGTTCTTGCCTACCTGGGTCCCATCGGCGGCAAGCGCGTGGTGGAGCTGGGCGCGGGGATCGGACGCTTCACGGGCGAGCTGGCGGCCAGCGCGACTCGCGTGACCGCCTATGACTTCATGGAGCCGCTGGTGGCCAAGAACAGGGAGCAGCACGGACACCTGGCCAACTTGGAGTTCGTCGTGGAAGACGTGACGGCGACGGAACGACCGGCGCAATCGACCGACGTCGTCTTCTCCAACTGGCTGCTTATGTACTTAAGCGACAGAGAGGTGGAGATCCTGGCAAGCAAGATGCTGATTTGGGTGAGGGGCGCGCACCAAGCGTCCAATTGCCGGGCCAGACGTTTTAGTAGTTTAGCCAGTGAACAGCGAATTTGCGTCTAAACCCGAAACCACACCACTAAATGCACTGGGCTTGGGGGTGAATTGACAAGGGAGTTGTGCATTATTCAAAGGCGGTGGGCAGGCTCCCCGTGCACAACAACAACTGGCACTGGAGTTTGTGCCCCCTGTACAACGACAGCTTGTACATTTTGTGCCGACTGCACGACCTTCAGCACCTGTGGTCGGAAACGACGTATTGGATGGACATACTGAGCTGGAAACTTGGCCTGGATTGGGTGGCGGTTGTGCCGTACGTAATTTATCAGCTCCTCAGCGAATAGTCTGCTTTTGTGAGGGTGGTGAACGAACGCCTGGTGTGCAAAGGTGGACTGTTGGAAGTGTTCCTGTTCGGCTCCAGGCACTGTCTCCAAGAACCAGTCCAGGCGCAGAAAGTTGGATGCTGCAGTGTTTTGGGGTCGTCGGGCTATCCCATCTTCTGCCAAACTTGCACTGCTGCAGTAAACAGAAGCACAAGTGCCGTGGAATTGTGCTCGTGTGGTGGCACAAAATGCGCGCATGATAGTGCATTGAACAAGGTGCTTCTTCTGACGTGGGTGTTTGGGCATTTGCCTTCTCAGCTGTCAGTCGGTGGAATTTGCTTCTTTCGGGAGTCGTGCTTCCAGCAGTCTGGAGATCGCAGGAGGAAACAGAATCCATCACATTACAGGTGACAGGTATTGCGGTGTGTTCTTGGCGTGGAAGACTGTGATGTTTTCTGTACTTTAGCGTGGAATTGTTTTGCTGGCCAACTGATAAATTGTGTCAGTTCCCATAGCAACCAATTTGCATTGGTAGCTCTCTTCTGCTTTAGTGTTGTTAGTTAAAAGGATATCAACCGCATTGTGACAGCCAGGGAATCCTTGTTCATCCATCAGTAATGGACAGATTATGAGCCCGTTTGTGACACACCAGACGAATTCTGTTTCCGTTTATGCAAAATGGACTGGGTGACATTGAGTTTTATGGGTGTGTGTTGGACAGAAACACAGTTAGTTGCTTCGACCAACTGTGGATGATCATGATCACCTTTGTCTAAACCGGCACAGAAATGACAAGTTGAGGAAATAGCAAGATTCGTTGAGTGGCACAAATTTGTCCGTCCCCAACAGGCAACAGGTGGCCATATGTGCTTCCTGTTATTGTTGTTTCGTATGCAGCTTGCAAGTGCCACTCGTATAGGTGCCATTTGCATATCTTTCATGTGCGTAACAATTGAAAATTTGTTGTCTGCGTTTTTTGCATATCTGCAGTGTGTTGACAGCCATTTGAAATAAACAAACAGAACAGAAGGCATGTGGCACAATCGGGATGCTCTGTGGACATTTTATCCCAACATATAGCTGCGCACTCAAGCTGGGCTCTGTGCGGCATAGGAACCCCCGGGACTATTTCCGCTTGTTTGATGCAGCACACGTGGACATGCCAGATGGGAAGCAGATGCGCTTTGAGTTGGTTGGCTGCAGGTGCATAGAGAGTTATGTGGCTGTAAAGAAGAACCAGAACCAGATTTGCTGGAAGTGGAAGAAGGTGACCGTCGGCAGCACCCCTGATTCCCAATTTCAATGGATCAGCAATCTCCACATGTGTGCATCAGTGTGTCCTCTCCCCACGATTCCAGTTGGTCTGAACTTTAGATTGTCGCTGGCATCGTTCACAGTGCATGGTTGCATGTGTGCACACACATTGAATTGCCACCAAAGGCACAGGGATTGCTCATATTCCAGCAACATGCATTCCAACAGACCTTGGTTGCCAGGTTCCAAGTCATGCATTGTGCTGCCAGGTGGTGAAGAACCCTCAGGACAATGGTGAATTCAGACACTTCTTGGACAACTACCAGTACGCTGTGAATGGAATTCTGAGATATGAACGCATGTTTGGAGAGGGCTTCATAAGCACAGGGGGTCTCCATACCACAAAAGATATTCTGAAACGGCTGAGGTTGCAGCCTGGCGAGCGCGTCCTTGACATAGGTGTGCATCTCAGCCTGTGCAATTGCATGGTGGCTGGAATGGTGGCCGATGGCTGTTGAAACTGCTGGGGATGATACGACGTGTGCAGTGTCTTGCAAGCCCCCGAATTTGATGGCAAAGTACTGATGTGGGTAGCAGGTCCAGTACACATTTATTGTCAGCGCCAAAGTCGCACCTGCTTGTACTGGTCCATGGAGGCGTGTTCATGGTGCCATGCAGTGACATGCGCAACTGTGAGTTTCACTCTGCATGAAGAGTACATGTGGCTCTTGCTGCCCTTTCTGTGGCTGCTGCTGCCTCATGTCTCGATTCCTTGGATAACCCCACACGTGAAAGCTTGAGGGACAGCTCATCAGATTGTACACTTGTGTGTTTCCATGCCAGGATGTGGTATTGGTGGTGGTGATTTCTACATGTGCCAAGAGTATGGCGTTCACGTGCATTGCATCGACCTTTCAGTGAACATGTTCATGATCGCCACAGAACGAGCACAGAGAGTGAGGTGCTCTGCATCGTTCGAGGTTGCCGACATTACGAAGAGGGAATTTGAGGATGAAAGCTATGACGTGCTGTATAGCAGGGACACTATCTTGCATATTCACAACAAGCCAGAGCTGTTTTGCAAGTAAGCCATTCAGCTTGTCTCATTTGTGTGAATGCTGTGCATGTGTGTCTGCTACCCCTGTGTTGTCACTTTTAGGAATCAGTGCACTCCTTTACTGCCATCCCTGTGTTGCCGCATTTCTGGAGCTTCCAGACACGGGCTGTACTCCAAACTGGGCTTTATTCCTTATATAGATTCACCATGGTGCTCGGGAGCTGTAAGGTATGTCAATCATGTGGAGCATCCGGAATTCTCCTTGGAGAACCACTGGCAGATGGACAACTTCGTGATAATGCTCAGTCTTCCATCCACGGAACAGTAGTCAGCATCAAACTCAGCACAAACATTGTGCCACTAGAAGGTCTTCTGCATTCGCTGCTGTCATACACTTTTATTGCGTTAGTATGAAAATGTTGTCACTTCAACTGGGGTTCATGATTAGCCCAAGATAGGGCATGGCTTTAGGACAGCAGATTCTAGTCTGGAAATGTCACGATTTTGGCATGGATCAAGCGATGAGCACCCAGTTTGAGGCCAAACGATGTGAAACTATCAAGGGAGCAATAACCAGACTGCCATTTTGTTGCGGCTTAGATGATTTCGGCTCGTGTGCTGTTGGCACCAGTGTTCCAGATATGCATGGCCTATTGTGTCCATTTGATTGCTAGTGCTGCTGACAGAAACTCAATGTTTGCAGTTATTGGGGCATTGGCCATGTGTTTGAGGCAGGCAACACCCCAGCAGAAGTTGGTACAGTATGTTACACAGCTCAAGGCAAAGTATTAATGAGGAGTTTGGGGGAGGACAAGGAGGGTTAAATTTTCCTTGTGCCACTTTGCAGTTGCCTGGACACGTCCTCCAATATCAACCAATGCAATGAGGATCATGCAGGCCTGTTGTCCAGGTTGACAGTGGGCCTTAAGGGACATCATTGGCTGTGCAGCCACCGAATGAACAGTGGTGAATTTTTGATGGCCATCACAACTCCATCAAGCCAACATTTGTGTGCCTTGTGTCACAGGTTGCTGAAGATGCTCAAGCCTGGTGGCCGCTTGCTCATTACTGACTACTGTCGATCCAGCGACAGCCCATCTGAGCGGTTTGCAGAATACATTCAGCAGCGTAACTATGACTTGCACTCTGTGGAGGCCTATGGAAAGATGTTGTCGGATGCAGGATTTGTTGATGTGGTGGCAGAAGACGCCACAGGCTTGGTAAGTAAAAAATTGTTGGCTTGTTTGCGTAGAACTGGTGGAATTGCTGTGCCTAAATGCACAGTATCAGGGAAACCGCCAAGTGGTGCTCAGCCACTGGCCTTGCCCAACGCGATTTTGTCCCGAGTTGGCGTTCGAAACGCCGCCAACCAGGCTGGTTGGTGTTGCTTGGTTGCTTCCACTTTTGTGAGTCTGCCTTTGGTGTACTTGAGACATGGGCAACTTGCCTTGTCCGCCCAGTTTTCCACACAGAACAGCACTGCAGGTGCCACCGTCATGTCCTCGGCTGTGTAGGCAGGCAGTGGCATGCACACAAGGTGACGTATTTACACAATATAGCCTCGGGAACTGTGGTGTAGCCCGGAAATTGTTGTGAGTGCAGCAGGCACACCCATAACTTGTCGGCCCGCGTTGTTGGCCCCCTGCATGTGCTTCTGATCTCAATCTGTGTCCGGTTGTGAAATCCCAGTTCATCAGCTCAGTGCAGCGCGAACTGGGCGTTGCAGAACGAGAGCGCAACGATTTTGTAGCAGAGTTCTCAGAGCAGGACTTTGAGGCTGTGGTCAGCGGCTGGAAAGAAAAGCTGGACCGTGCCACAGCTGGAGAGCAGTGTTGGGGGTTATTCATGGCCAGAAGGGCAACAAACTGATATTTCATCATGGATTCTTATTGTCACTACCTTGACCTCATCAGCTATGCTTTCATTTTCAGAAGACTTGATGCCCGGGGGGGGCAGACAAGGCGCCTGCTATTCTTGCATCCCGGCGTGCAATGAATGAGGTTTGTGTATCCGCCTGCGCAGAACTTGGAGATATTTTCCTGCAGTAATTTGATGAGCGAGAGAGGGGGTTTTGTCACTATTATGAAAGGTGTGAACATTCCATGTAACACTCTGGTGTGTTGGTATGACCCTCTCCTGTTGATGTGTTGCTTGTCGATGGATATGTGGTTCATGTCCATACGTCTGCATGAATATGGCATCCCCATCCAACGCAACCGACAATATGTGTGGACAAGTGCGAGCAGGCAAATTTCTGAAGTTTCGTGGACTGCGGCCGGATGGTCCGTGGGTGCAGTGCCTGCACAGGCGTCCTACACGTGGAACCTGTAGAAGTGAGCAATCCTGCGCTGAGTAGTGAAGTGTGCGCACAGACGACCGCAGTCCTTGATTGGTCATGTCACAAACAATGGTATCTGCATTCAATCAAGTGCGCTGACATTGGCAAGATCCTGGGTGGTGACTCCCGAGCAGGTGATAGATGACCCCGACGGATGGGCATTCGGTGAGGACTGTTCCTGGGGTTGGCCGCAAACAATGCCTCAAGTTCATGAAGATCAGGGGCACCCCCACAACGGAACAATTGCCACTGCGAAGCCATTGGCCAGGCCTCTGCCATCCTCACATTTCCATGTATGTGGTTGGCAGCCTTCGGCTCCAATGGTCCCACATGAAGCCGAAGCATAATGACCCACTCCATCTTTGTGTTTCTAGCAACCATTCGATGTCAATAAAACAAAATAGGAATCAAAGTGCATCAGTCTATGCATCTCCTATTTCGGATTCGTTGTCTTGGCAATGGGGATTGCGCACGCTGCCTGCAAGTGATAATCACCCCCATCCAGGGCATCAGGCATGTGCAGATGTCCTAGTTCAGACTTGCCAGAGCGCCTCCACATCTCCCATCGACACCCATATCCACCGGCGCTGAGCGCAGCTGGGCGACATGATGTGGCACTAGCAATAAATTTGGCAACTGCATGGTGGCTGTGCTTGTATGCCACATCAACAGCTGTCCTTTTGAATTGGTCCTTCTTCACCACAAGGGCTCCTCCCCCCACTTGGCAGAGAGCCTTCACCATGGGCATGCAGCCCCGCCGAGCAGCAACGTGCAGTGCCGTCTGGCCATGTTTGTTTGTCATGCAGCACATGGCCTCGCCTCTATGGGCAGCAGCAAGCAGGAGGCATCTGCAGCAAACGAAATCATGAGCACTCAGTACAGACGTATTCAGCGACTCGTACAGTGAGCATCCTTTGGGGACCAAAAAGCATGCCTTGGTGAGTATACAAACAGGAATGTCTTTGGCTTCGCCCCGTCCCCCAGCCCTCCCAAATATTGGGCCCTATTCCAGTGTGCAGCCGTTCAAGAGCGCCCACAAGAGTTTAGACGAAAGCAGGACGCGCGTTCTCCTGTGTTCAGACGTTGCAGCAAAACCACCGAAACGCAGCCACATCTGACAGCTGCGCTGTGCAGTCAGGACACAAACAGATTTGCCTGCACTTCCATTCGCAATCGATGATTCAATTTCACGCTCGAGTCTGTCGCACGCTATGGATTGGTGGAGCAAAGAAACATTCACACACCTGGCCACACTGCATCTATCAGCAACAGCAGCAGCTTGCAGGGGGGTCCAGCCATCACCATAAGACCTGCTGTCGATCCAGTCGATCCCATGACACTCGAAATAAGACAGCAACAAGTCGACAACCTCAGCGTGTCCCCTGAGGGCCGCAATGTACAGTGGCGTCTCCTCATTTTTGTTCCCTTTCCAGGCATCTGCCCCCCGTCGAAGGAGCTCAAGAGCAACCTGGACGTGCCCTTTGAAGCAGGCCTGGAACAGTGCCGTTGCGCCGCTGCGACCCCTTGTGTCTGTGGCAGCCCCCAGCGATAAGACAGCTCTCGCCAGGGTCACGTTACCCTCTTCTGCAGCTCTGTGCAAGGTCGTCTGACAAAACATGGTTGGGCCATGAGGCCTGCCCATCGTGCAGTTGACGGCACCTCTCAGGGCCATGTCCATGCCTTGCGCAATCAGGCCATCAAACTTCCAGTGGTCCACTGTCCCAGCAGCATGTTTCTGCTCCATCTCATGCTTTAGATCTAGAGCCCTCCGAGCTGCAGTTGTGGAGGACAAATCGAGCACCTCCAGCGCCTCACTCTGCGGGAACGGCAGTCTCACAACCTCGCTAGACAAAGTGTTCTTCAGGAGAGCGCCAGTGCCGGGAGGGAAAAACGTGATATCCAAAAGATACAGCCTTGGAAGGCACTGCAGAAGGGTCAACAGCTGAAGACACACCGCACTTGTGGAATTGTCAAGATCAATGCCAGAGTTCGCCACTGCCTGCGCACTTTCTCTGTGAATGGCATCGTAGTCGGAAATTTCCTCCCCAATGCTCTGCTCTGGCAGGCTGCTGTCGACAAAGGTTCCCCCAAGGCAGAGAACAGACAAGTTTGGACAACATGTTGCAATAGCCTCAAATGCTCGGTGGTTCACCCAGCCACAGTTGTTCAGTGCCAGAATCCGCAGACTGCAGGAGGCAAAGAAACTCTGCCACTTCAGTGCCAGTTTTCCCCCACCAACACAATGGGCTCTCCCAGTGACCAAGTCATGCACCATCTGCTCCTCTTCAGGTCCAAGGACGTCAGCCACGAGCTGCTCAAAGAATGGTTTCTCAACATGTTCCATTCTTGATATCCAATCCAACAGGTTGAGCTGGCTGAACAGCACACAGTGTAGCTCTGAATGCACACTGTTTGCGCATTTCAGCGCATCTGTGAGTGCCACATCTGTGACTTGGAAACACCTTTGAAGATTGACAAGCTTCAGCTTTGCAGCATCCCGGGAGGGCCCTGTTCCCCAAAGCTTCCCATCTTTTAATTCCAGCTGGCTGCAGTCAGACACAGTGGTGTTCGTTGTGGCGCCATCTCCAAAAAGGACCTTCCCTACTGTGGGGGACAACTTAGTACACCCTGACAAGTCCAGTGATTGAAGACCCGATGTTGCCTGCAGGACTCCCTGCAATTCACTGTCATCCACCCGGCAGCCCAGCAGTTCCAATTCTCGAACACCTGATGCACAACAGATGGCAAGGCCCAATTCAGGCCAACTGTGATGCAAGAGTGTACAGCAGGGGCCATCACATATGCACACCAAATGGCCCACTTTTTGCCGGCACAAATCAAAAACAAGCAGGACGCACAAGCAGGAATACCAAGGGGGCGGCAGGGCCAGGAGCAGTGGGATTCTGTCACCTGTTTTTTGGCCCTTTATTCATGCTGCTGAAAGGGCAGAACGAAGTTTGGTGAATTGCATGGGCCTGGACAACGGCTGCTGACCCATCTATGGGTTTTGGTCAATCAGGATGGATGCGTATCGTTGTCTTTCACTGGAAGGTTCTCTGTTCGCCACAAGCATAGGCACATCGTAGAGTTCATTTTCTTTCCCTGCCTGTCGTTTTGCTGCGGCCACCATTGTATGTATTGCAGGCAGACATGTTGGTGCAGTGCATGAGGGACATACGTATTGGTTGTTGATCCGTTCAAGCCCCACAGCCCCTACTTTGCCTTGTGAAAGCAAATGGAGAAACGAACTAAGCTGTCCATTTTCTGGCGCGTTTTTCTGGTGCGGGTTACTATGTGGGCCCAATGATTGAAAGAATTTTCCAAGACAAATTGCACCAATGGGTAGCGGAAGCCAACCTGGGAATACTTTTGTGACGCCTCTCAACATCTCCTGCCCCCTGCTGACGTCTCCGCGGGCGATGGTGCTCCACAATGACTCTCGTATTCGCAGGTTCAAAGGGGCGGTTCTTATTGTCCCCAGCAGTTGCTTCGATGTCAGTGCTAGTGGCGCCAAATGGCAAGGGTTGGAAATCTGCAAGAGAACCTTGTGGATGACCTGTAGGGTGTGCAGAACGCTGTCACCTCAGCGAGCATCCAGCAACTCCCCATGGCCCATTAGCTTGGATGGAAGATCGCACAGCCCGTCCAGCTAACACAGTCCATCCACACGCCAAGGCCCTTTTCGGCCTGCGTCCGCACTTTTGCTCCGCCGCCGTCCGTGCGCTCCTTCCCAAACCGTGTCCTACCTCAAATGGCAAGTCCCCGAGAGACATGCAGGGCGACTCGCCGTCTTCCGCACTTCCCACATTTTCTGCAGATTTCACCACAACAAGGGTTGTTACGACGCATCACCGCGGCGGCGCCCACAGCGCTAAGAACAGGGCCGGCGAGAGCTTCCTTGTGAACCGCTTGCCCGGCAACTGCCTCGGTCCACAGGCCCCCGACCCGCCGGGCTGCGGGGGATTCGACAGGCTGCTGGCCGAGGCCGACAGCGGTTCAGGCGCGCTACCTGTGCCCTTCGCAGCCATCGAAGGAGCGTAACAAACTGCCATTGGTGCCGATTGGGGCCTCCGGTTGCGCACTAAAGTCCTCGAGGATGGGCCGCTGGGTGATGGCTGCCCGGATGCTGCGGGGAAGTCAGGCCCAGTTGGCTGTTCTGCGTTTTTCGCACTCCTCTTGAATCCCATAATGATCACCTATCCTGTGTGATAGGGTGGGTGGTACTGTGTGTTGCGTCACTGGGCGGAAGATGTGTCTATACCAAACAATCCCCACGCTGCGCGAGTCGATAAGCCACAGCCGTACCAAATTTAAACGAAAAACGAAAAGAAACACCCCGGCATAGGGGCGGGCTGAGCAGAATTCATGGGTATGACTTCAGGAAATGGTGGAAGGCAACGGAGCCAGGGTGGACAAATAGAAGCCATCATGTATGCTCAGTGCGATTCCATAACTCTTGAATGGGTTGGCAATACATTTTTCTTATTCTTATGAAGTGGAGGTACAAGAGGACGCTGAGAATCACAGAGAAGAATTGGTTGAGGCTCCAAACGCAACTGCACACTACAATAATATACATGTCTGCGAGCAGTCTCCCAGCCGAACTCTGTTCTCAGCTCGGAGAATATCCTGTGCTGTGTTTGAAGGGCCAGACTATGGCGAACGCTTACCCCTTCAACTCATTCTCATTTTCTGAGTCCAAGATGCCCAGGTCCTCCCAGATAACTTTGCGTACTAATCACCCTGGGATATGGCTAGTCAGGATCCAACGCAGTGAGCGCGCAGAACAGTTTCTTCAGCTGATCATGGTTCCCTAATTTTCCGCCTGCCTCTTTCCACATTCCCTTGGATTTATCAATGCGGCCACAATCAGAAGCTGTTTTGCTTTTCTGTTTGGTATGTCTCACATACAGTGGTGCATTACAGGCCATCTAATGCAGTGTGCAACGCGTTTCCATGAGGCACCCTTCATAATTGGTAACTAATTCAACGAAATCGTTGGCCATTGCGTTGGGTGGCCAACAGCGCAGTTTTTCATCGCGAGGGCGCCATCCTTAAATATGCCACCACTGCGCCGGACTGTCGAAAACCAAATTCGGCAGCGCAACAACACAAGAAGATTCGGATGTTCGAGTTTCCGAGTATTTCTTTACAACTGCTCCATACGGTACCGCACTCTTCGTGTCCCCGCGGTTCGCCTCCTCTCAGAGGAGCTCTCTTCATGTAGCTTGCATGCTGTGTGGGGGGAAATTGTGTTGCACACACCCAATACTGCGTTCAGCGATCACGTCACCAAACTTTCAGCGTCGATGGAGCATTTGCGACGAACTTTCTCTCTATCCTTGACCCACACTCGCGAATCTAGGTAGGCATCAAAAGTAGCTCTGCACGCCACAGTTCAGACGTCTATGCACAAATTCGAGGCTGGCAACCACCGTTTTGGTGTCCCAGCGGCGAGAAAATTGCTTCCCATCAACGCACCATTGCAGCGCAAGTACTCCCAAGCCTGTACATCACATTCAAGATACGCGATTCGAACGAGGGTAAGCCATGGGATTTCTGGTCTTGTCCCACATACGCCGCCTGAGAGGGGTCTGCATAATTATGCTGGACGCGGTAAATTCACGGAGCGGCTTCTGAGTACTGGGCCATTGAGTCACAGGAAATTCCCGCATCCACAGAACAAGGAACACACTATAATAACCCTCTGTACCAAACACCTTTCCCATCTGCCGCATGTTCGGTGTCCAGCTTGTATCCGTGTGCATGTGCAAGCACCACACGAAAGCAACGAATAGCAGCTTTTCAGGTAATGTCGGTGTTGACAAGTGCTCTTAAGTACCGGGTCTGCAAACGAAGTGCCGCCAAGGATGTCAGGTATCCATCTTCGTGGATGAAGCCACCACTCCAGGGCAGATCATACTTTTTCACCCAGCAGCTGATATTACATTCTGCAAAAGATATCTGAGAAAGCGGGGACTCAATCTTGAGTTCGGCTACCACCACCGCGCATCCTGGTGATTTGCGGTTGGAATTTCAAAATTACGGAGAGCTGCCAAGAGCTACGCGCAAATCACCGCTCGATGGGACCGGGAGTCGAGCTGACGGCAGCAATATGAGCAAAAGATTGTAAACAACGTCTTAAACCATGCATAGGATGCGAACGGAAACGTTTAAAAGCAAATAAATATTGTGCGGATGCTTCTGGCACTGGGAAAGACCATAAAATATATCCAAAGGGCCGAGCTCCTGTGCAATTAAAAAAAACTGTCATTGCTCGTGCTCACGAAATCATCGGGAATACAAAACTTGTCTCAGAGGCAATTCGCTTCACCCGAATGTCCACAAACCCCATGACGAATCTTATTTACTGAGAAGAAATTCTTCATGCATTGTGCCTGGAAAGGTATTTCTGAAGACAAGGGTGATAATTTCGCAACATTTTCCACCAACAGCGCTTGGTGAATTTCGAGCTACTTTGTCGCACGGGCCCCTATTTGAACCAATGCCAAATGCAGTCATGCTGCGATGCTCGCCCCAATTGTCCACCGCCTTTTCGAATGTGCTTTTCATCAAGTGCTATACTCAAGAGTATCTTAGTAAAATGCGGTGCTTTCCAGCTGGGTGAAGCAAGCCCCGAAGAAAAATGTACAATGCATATGCATTTTCCCCTTGGATTAGTTACCTGGAAATACTCTGTTAGGTCCCAGATGTCCGTTCGCAGCAGAGTGCTCGTGGAAGTCAGGGAATCGTATAGGAACAATGGGTGCTTTGAGGTAGTTCAGCACAGCAACTTTGCCATGGTTCGAACTAATAACGTGGGGCCTAAATTTCCGAAGTTGGCAGGTCACCACTTGCGCAATAGATCTGACGCATTGAGAATGCGCTGTCTTCGCCTGGCGATAGCTCGCACCTGCCACCCTATAAACCAGGCTTCGCGGTGGCCTCCTGTTGGGGCGGTGGGCGCTGACCAGCGTGGACCCGCCTTTCCAATTCCCATGGTGGAAGGAGCCTTCATGACAGGGATATGAATGCCAACCAAGCCGTATTGTCACACCGAAAAGTGTAAGGGCGGTTGGAACGCCTATGCGGAGCATTTCATACCCTGTTACTCTCTCTGCCGCACTTCCCCATTCTGCTGAACTGCCCCACGGCAGTTTCAGAATGGCCAGACTGGACCGAGGGGCGATTGTATGACGCAATAGAAGTAACCAGCATATGGTGCGGGGCAAGGGAAGTATTCGTGACCTGCTTTGAATGCCTGCGCCACGAGCGGTTCGTTATGCACAGCTCCGTAAGCATGCAAATACTTCAGCGGGGTTCAGTGGAATACGAACAGTCCGGACCCCAAGGGAAATGGGAGTGTTTGTGATGGCCAGGGAAAGGGGGGGGCCGGATGCAGGAGGGAGATGAGCCGGATTTTTTCTGGATTGACGTTCGAGCGCCCATGTGCTGACTCGTCTGTAGGGATGTCAGGCAACCAGGGAAGCGCCCCCCAAAGCAAAGAAGAAGAAGCCAGCAATACTCAGGTGAAACAAGCCCCTTTTCTTCCTCTTTCTATTTGCATTACGGTATTGTTTACCTTAGCAAGGGGCCTTTACAAGTTTGAGAGTCCGCTTGTTCCCTTGCCCTCATCGCGCCGGAGCGACTAGCATTCGAACAAGGAAGCGTGGTTACAAGCAGACGGATGGACACAGTGGCCAAAGCACTCTGCGCAAGCAAAATCCGAATCTCAAAAAAACGAGTAAACATGACCTCTGTATACCATGTCTTCCAATAGATTCCTAAATTGTGGTTGTCGATGTGACGCAGATGCCGCTAAAGGATCATTCCAGGACAATGATGGTCAAACAAAGGTTCTATTACGCTCGCTTTCTCTGCTGTTTCAGTCGCGTTTCAGGGGAGAGGGGAATGAGAAAATGCAAGCAAACAATTTGAAGTGCGCAACGTTGCCAAGATGGCATATGTTTGTCCATGTCAATATAACATACATTGCAAAATTCAGTGCGGCCGCGGAATCATATATATCATTCGGTACCTTAGCCCAAGGCACACGTCATCTTTTTGCAATTGGCGAGCCGTTCTGGGAGCGACAATGTGGTATTCGCAGGGCGCAAAGACATGTGCTACGCCCAGATGCCCGCAATTCGGATTCACATCAATCATTCCAATATCCCAGCAGCATCTGTGCAGTACAAAAGGAACATGTCAAATCAGACGTTCACCTCCGGCAATATCGGTGCACCGTCGTGCAGCCCGTGCACCTACTTCTGCTGCGCTGGATAAATTGCCGCGAAATTAAAGCTTCTGCGTTTGTTGCGGTGCATTCAGTTGCTAGCGACAAAATCGCTTGAAGACGTATTGGGTGAGGACATTGACGTTTCAAAG